CATTTTTAAATAGGACAGGAGCCAGCCTGTCTGCAGTACTGCTGGTTTGTAATTAGTCCTATCACCGTTCGGCTAAGTAAGTAATGGATAGGTTGAATCATCCCTGATCGGGGAGAGGGTGGGAGGAGGAGGAAGAGGTGACCATAAGCGTGATTGAAGAGGAAGATCGTCAGTTGTGATCTAAAAGTGTGGAAGGAGGGGGCAAAGTGGAGGGATTGGGGGAGAGAGTTCCAAAGCTTTGGGGCGTAGTGGCTGAAAGTAGAGTATAGTAGAGCAACAAAAATCCATATTGAACTGATTAAGACTGATGTAAACATGGAAAACTCTCAAGCAAACACCACTGGAAAGAAATCTGGAAAAAGGGGCATTGGTATTAATTATCTGGAAAGGGAGCTAAACCTTACTGAAAGCCAATTAGTTGGATCTATACGGGATTTTTCTTTGTGCATACGGAACAGGTCTGATAAGGTGAGACATTCTCATCCTGAGAGGGTTTTAAAGGATGGAATTTATTTGTGTCATAGTTATCCGATTTTGAACAGATCGATTCCTGTTTGAGTTAAAATCGCTGTGCCATTTACAAAGTGTGAGAAGCTCTTATCAAAATTGTTTCTCATTTATTGGAAGGGAATGTAAATAAATGTGTCTCAGTCTCCTGGGACAGAAAGTTTTGAACCACCTCAGTTAGTGCAGTATAAAGTCTCCGGAGGGGTTTTCCCGCACCCCTCCATGTTTTACACATAAAGATTTTATATCGATGAAGTTAGCATAAATAGTACGGTTTTTTCCCCTTCTGACTAATTTTCCTCTTTCCCCCTCTCCTCTACCTCCGCGAGAATGTTGTAGCTGGCTTTGCTCTGGCTAATAATTGACTAACTCATGTCAGATCAGTCATTCATGCATTTACCCAATTTACCCAATGAGACATCAGGAGGAAAACCCCAATCGCGGGACGCTTTGTACCTCGGCCAGGACTATCCTGTGTTCTGACTTGCCCGAGAGTGAAATAGGCCAAATTCCCCTTCTCTCCTCAGAGGGATACCATAGATCTAGCGATGATTGTTAGAAGGCAGATGAAAGGGTAACAGTGGAGCTGGATGGGATTTAAATGAATGAGCCATGGGTGTTTCAAACTCTGGAGGTCATGAATTCAGAGCGAGCGTCTGATTGAGTGCATTAGTGACAACCACATGCAGGGTTTGTGGTAACTTGAAACAGCTGACGTGAATTTTCAATCTTCTTGCCCGGCAGGGTTGTCAACCTTTGAAAAAATAATAAATAACGCAAAAAGAAAGTTAGAAATGAGCAAACCTGGAGGGGATAGAGATGGGGAAAGATGAAGACTTAATCGGGTGTCTTGTAACACTGGTGATATATATGGCCATTGCTTAACCTACAATAGAGCAAAAGTAAACGCTACCCCTCCAAACAAAGTGGTTATAAATGGGATTGTGACTCCAGATCGCTGGGGAATGGAAAATACGGCACTTGTGAATTATTGGTTCTCATGTTTCACAGCTTGTCGTTGCATTATCCATAAACTACCAATAGCCTGTGTTAAACAACAGCAACAACTTGCATTTATCATGTAGCACCTTTCATGTAGGATAGCATCTCAAAACGTCTCAAAACACTGAGATGTCCTCCCGACGTAGAAAGTGCTATATAAATGTAAGTTGTTCTTAAATGCTTGTGATATGTACATGTACTTACAGGATCAGAGGGATTCCTGCAGTCAGAGGTTAGAGCACTCGCAAGCGAGAGACCTGGGTTCGATTCCCGGCAGGGCGAAATGTTGGGCAAGTTTCCTTACTCCACATGCCTCTGTTTATCAAATGCAAGGATTGTTATTATTATTGGAGTGGGAAAAGCAACTCACTACTCTGTGGAAAGGGGACTTTCCTTCAGATCTCTTATCCAGTCCTGAGATTTAATCTTACGAAATGTCAGCAGGCTTTTGGCCAACAAAACATTCACAAGGCTTTTGGTATATTTCAGGTCAGATCTTTTCTGCCAATACTCCTAAGGTTATGGGAGACCAAGGAACATTCACCTGGCAGAGCTATACACTGAAGCTATTAGTACCGCAACAATCTGAGGTCATTAGAGCACAATCATAAACTTATGTGATACCTTTGCCTACTTAAATGATAGAACGCAACTTTTAAAATGTAAAAATTGCTATAAACTTTGGATAATAAAAATAATCCTTGCATTTGATATAGCACCTATAATGTTGAATGTCTCAAAATGCTTCCCAAAGTTTCTGTAAAGAGTAAGAGGATTCCTGTAGCTCAGTGGTTAGAGCACTCGCTTTACAAGTGAGAGACCTGGGTTTGATACTCACAGGGTGAAACCTTGGACAAGTTTCCTATCTCCACACACCTGATGATAACCCCTCAAAAAAAACAATAATAAATTGGTCATTTTCAATCTACAACTGTTTGTGGGACACTCCTGTGCGCAATTGGCTGCCGCATTTTGCCCACAAATATAGTCAATTCACTTTACAGTCTATTCTGTGAAGCACTTTGAGATGTCTAGAAGACGTGAAAAGGCGCTATATCAAATGCAAGGATTATTATAATTAATGATTGTATTTTGTCAGTGAATGCAGCGAGCAGCAGTTTGCGACAATTCGTTTGGGAATAGCAATGTCCGACAGATAGCCATGAAGCCAATGAATCAATTATATTTGCAGGAATTTTGGCCAGGATACCGGGGGGAAAACTCCCTTCTCTTTTTGAATAGCGGAGTGAAATACTTAACTCACGTCTTCACATTTAGAATCGCATCCAGAGGGTAGCATTTCAGACAATCTAGCCCTCCTCGTCCCAGCACTGCGTTAATCAGTCTAGATCTAGATTATGAGCTCATAGATCTGATGTGTGGTTTAAACCTTCTGAACCAGAACGTCTGATCAAGCTGTGAGAATACTATCCAACTGAGCCAGGCTGACGCCTAACCTAGAAAGGGATTTTACGTGAAATGTGTTTGAGTAGTTTCAACCCAGCAATTCATGGAGTAAGGCCAGAGAGCAAAGATACCGTGTTCTGGCTGATGGTGTTAAATTGGCAATCTTATTCAGACCGCATAGATGAGTGATATATGTAGTGGAAAATATCGTTGTGTGCTGGCTTCATGTGGCTGTGTGTGTGATGCTGACGTGAGGTGCCAGAAACACCAATATTTGGTCTGCATATGTGGTAACTTTGGTTTTCTGGTGGGGGATTTTTAAATTATTATTAAAAACCCGTTGTGGACTGAAAATGAAATATGAAAGCTGTTACTGTTTTCCCCTCTTCTCGCTCCCTCTCTATTGTTGTGACCCACTCCAGGCACCACCAGCTATGTGATGTCAGCATTCGTTGTTCCGGCATTTATCCAGCTTATTGTCAGCTGAAATATTTGGGAGTGGATATGTCTTGCAGGAGATTTTATTTTAAAATGTCTTATTTGACTCGCTTTCTCTTTGGTTCATTTACTGTAAGACCTTCAGTTACCGTGTCTGTGGATCTGTCTCTGGCCATTAAATGGGAGGTGATTGAGGTGGCTTTGCTTGTCTAGCTGTCCCAATGTTCCCTGCCCTACTGGAAAACACCTGTTTTTTTTCAATGCCTTCCTATCACTAGATCAGTAGCTCACTGTATAACGTGTTTGACCACAAACCAACCAACTATTCCATCACACATAGTACTCTGGCTCCAGGATTACATTCTACACCTCACTATCATTGCCCCCTTTTCCCAGCGACCAGCTAAATTCAACGTTCCTACATTTCTTGCAAACAAAATAGATTTCAGTACATTAGATTTAGCACGACTTCATTCTTTTAATTGGATAATAAAGGAAGAACTGCAAGCTTCTTAGAAATAGATATAGATGAACTGTGTTATACTGCAGAGGCGAAGGCTTCCGAGTAAAGTAGTGCTGTGTATTCAACTTGCCCAATTTCTCTTCCTTGAAATATGTCAAATGGTCAGTAGTTCTGCGGAAACTTCAACCAGCTGATAAATAGCTCTTTTCTCAGGCCACTTCGACCCCATCTGCATATCTCTTTCCTCACTCATTTTCTAAATATTTCAAAAGAAAATGATTGTTACACCTGTCATTCGAGTCTTGCAAGCTGCACCTAGAATCGTGTTCAACTCTTACCTGTTTAGATGCTGATGTATAACCCTTCATTGCTTTGTTACTGGCCAATTTCTGACCTTATTTCAAAAGTGTTTAGTTTCAAAGAGAACATAAAGCTTGGAACGGAAAAGATCCAACTTGAACATGTAACCACTTATTCCTTTCTATCACTTCTCCCTCTCTGAATTCACAATTCTTGCATCCTGTCGTAATCCAATTCCAGAACAGGAGTGTCGCTCCTCCTGGCTTAATTCTTTCCCTGCCCTGCTGGAAAACACCAATAAGGACCATATAATTAAATGGGAAGTGCAGAAAAGGGTTTCTGTTACCTTAAAAGGGCAATGCGCAATACAGAACAAATTACCGACACAGGTGGTGGAACAAGGAACTTTAAAGCGTTTGTTTTACAAAAAAGGAACCAGACAAGTTTCTGGAAATTAAACGATTTACAGCTCAAAGTTGGCGAAACTGAAATGTTGAGGGAATCTTTTGTGAAGTTGGATGGGAAATTTAGATGAACCAATAGTCTGTAGCTGCGTCATGGTCTTTGTGTGTGACCAAAACCCTGGACCATCCCTTTTCTCAACAGAGATGGATTCAGGCTCCACAAGCCACAACTCATTATTTCATTGGGGAGTTCCACAGTGCGAGGAAGGACAATGCCTTTCCACCCCACTCTTTACATTATTCCATGTCGATGACCAGGTTTATCCTCTCTGCTCAAGAATCCCCAACCTGTTTATGAGGTGGTTTGAGACGTTTGAATGGCGCTATAATAAGTGCAAGTTTTTGTAACAAAATATCAATTTCAAATAGAAATGGTCCATTGATGGTCCGTACTGAGAAGTTGCTTCTTTGCTTTACAGATTTGGACGGCCACAGGCCATGGCAGCCGGAAGAAACATAGAGTCGCACCAGCTTTCTCTGCAGTCACCTCTGCAACAAGCTAATGTCTCTCATCCCCAAGATAGCAGGTCACTGTGCGCCACCATCGAGCCTAAGCATGGAGGCTTCAAGGAGAGGTTTCTGCTTAAACTGGAGGAGAAGTACAAATGCGAGTATTGCCGTCATGCACTTTGCAATCCAAAGCAAACTGAATGTGGCCACAGGTTCTGTGAAAGCTGCTTGAGTAACGTTTTTCGGTAAGATGACTTTTTGTTTTCCTTTGTGCAGTTCGTTGTGTAATGAGAATTGGTCACTGATAGTGCAAATTGCATTCAAACAGCGAATTATTGTTCTTGGTTGAAGCTTTAGACCGGATATAGTGACTCTTAAATAACATGGTTTCATAGGGAATAATGTCCATAGAACCTGGAAGATCATTGTATTAACAAACTATTAGTTGTATACCAGTTGAAGATCGTGACCTTGAGGAGATTTGGATCAAAGTGACTTCTTTATTGAAATACACTTTTTTCCAGTTGCTTTCATCAAAAGCAATGTGATCAGTCCTACTAATCTGTATTCAACTAAGTTACATTTGTTCTATGATAGTAGATCATTTCACAGTCAAGTTTACATTCATGATGACCTCATTTAAGGTATACGTCTAACATCTTGTCAATAAGTAATGTTTTAACTCTGACTAGACGTAAGCAAATGCCTAGTGCAGAATTGGAGGAATAGACATAGATTTTATGTAGAACAAATGCTTTCAGACAATGCATGCCTTTGAGAGACAGTACATAAACGTGTCTGAAGTGAACTTGAAGTGCTATCTAACTGGAATGGAATGTTATAGATTAGGTGGAAATCGCGTTACATCAATCACTGTAGAGGGAAAAAAAGATTTTTTTTTAAATCTGAAAAAGGAATTCTTTATTAAAGAAAGTAGTTTCAAGTCCTTTTAAATAAGATGTTTAGAAATCAAAAATCTCAGAGTTTTCTATTAAGATTTAAACTACGTAAACCAAAACACTAGTAGTATTTCATTAGGCCATAAATGATTATGGTTGTCTGATTATTTTTTGTTTTGTTTTCTTCATAGGAATCAGAATCCAGTTTGTCCAGTTGACAATGAACCTTTATTTGAGACTAAGGTGAGTAGTAGAGTGAATACCAACAATTTACACTACATATCACCTTTCACATGAGGGGAGATTGGCCCAAAGAGTGTTACACAAACTGAGTGTGAGCCCGAGGGGAATGCGAATTCAGAGAGATGGGTCTTTTAGGTGGAATTCAATCACAGCGGGAAGGGGGATGAACTCTGGGATGGAAGCGAGGGGATAGAGCAGATGGAATCCATCAGGGCGAGGCAGAGGGCCTTCAGAAGGATGTTGAATTCAGTGTTTTCAATACTTGATGCCGACTCTTGATCTGACACTTTCTTTTGTATTTTAAAGGTATTTAAAGACATCTGCTGCAAAAGAGAGATTCTAAGTCTCAAAATCTACTGTAGGAACGAGAAAAATGGTTGCAAAGACCAGCTATGCCTAGGAAAACTTGAGGTAAATGAATGATCTAATCCAGTGCCATTAACTGCGGTTACGTGAATTAGTTGAAACCATGTCTAAACCCTATTATATATATATAAAATGAAGTACACAGTGGACTATTCAATTATTAAACTTTAATTTAGGAAATTGAAACACTCTACATCTGTTGTCTCTCTATGTTTACAAGTTCTGTTCACTTATCAAAGCTTTTGAAAATGGATAGCTTGATGGTAGAATATTCTTAACACCTCAAAGTTAATTGTTAGTTTTCTTGTGGAGGATTATATATGACACATTTATAATAGGTTTACTGATTTGATGTTTGTGTTAACGATCTATTGCTTATTGATCAAATGACCCCTTTTTTCATAGAGAAAATATCCAGATGTGATTGTTTCGATGCTAATGTTTGTTTGTTCTTTTCCTAAAGGCCCACCTACTTGAATGTCCTTATCAGGAGGTCCGTTGTACACGCAGGGGATGTACGGAGAGGGTGCAGAGGAAAGATCTAGCTGACCATTTAAATTCAAGCTGCAAATATCGGGAACAGGCGTGTAAATTCTGCAGGAAAGAAATCACAATGGCAGAGCTGAAGGTACAGGACGCTGCATAATGCACATTCCTTCCCTCCACTTCTCTTACAGACTGTTGGGTCATCATATATCAATGGAATTCTTATTGTGCTGAAAGTCTATTAGGTTTATAGATAAAGGTGCTGAATATAATCTCAAATTCACGATGGCACTAAGTTTTCAAAGTTTTCGGACAAATGTGGCATTATCACGAATTTGGGACCTTTAAGGGATTTACGAAGCTCTGAAACAAAGTGCAAGGTGTTCTAAGGCTGACTTCTCTTCCTGTTGAGTTGCTAACCTCATGGTGCTGAGCCAGCCCGGGCACTTCCTCATGAGAAGAAAAGAATTGGAGGATCAAGGACTTTGGCTTCTTTCAACCATCTCCCAAATGGTTAGTTACATAAAGGTGTTGTCACCTGGAGGCCTAGGAACAGACTTTCCTGTTACACCTACAACTGGGACCAGGGCATAGATTAGAGAGATCCGAAGCATGGAAAGAAGAATATATAACCCAACCATTTACCTTAAGCTACCCAAGTGATACATATTGAACCTTTTTCCTGAGAGGTATGATTCATCTGGATGGATTCTGTGAGAATTTTTACATACACATCTGATTATAAGCAAATGCTGTGGTATGTTTTTGCATAATATTTGACAAGAGGCTTTGTTCGGTGCCTGGATATAGTTGTTGGCAAGAAAGCAGTGGTGGAGGTGTTAACCAGAACAGGAACATTTCATCACTAACAAAGAAATTGTGTGAATTCATAACGGAAAATGACTATTGGCTTTAATATCTTGAGTGTAGGGAGCATCTTGACTTTGTCACAAAGTTCAATAGTTAATGCATATTTACTAAAACCTGCTGGGTGGTACTTCATGACTGCATAAAACCTCTTGAACCAGTAGAACACCAAAATGGTTAATCTTTGGAGAGACCATGTAGCTGTATTTTTTTTTGGTGATTAATACAGCTCCTTTAAGGTCAGGAGACCTTTCCCCAGTAACTGTGACCAGATGGGGCATTCACTAAACTACTTTGTTTGACTGTGATTATGGTATAAAAGGGCTTTGTATTGATGCGACTATAGCTCCCACAAATGAGCACAAATGTCCACCTAAATGAATACAACTACAAATCCTCTGAATTTTTCATAATCAATTAACGGGAGCAAGCTGAGAAATCAGTGGCTTGTCCTCGGGTTCAGCTTATATCCGTTCATTCAAAACGAATGTTTGCTTCTTTCTGTAGAAACACGAAGAGTTGGAATGTCCATCAGTGCTCGTGAAGTGCCCCAATAAGTGCAATGTTTCTGTTCTGAGGAGTGAGGTAAGAAACGTGTGCTTTGGAAGCTATTCCTGGTTAACTGCTCAGGTTACAGGTTCGAACCCCTGGGAACAGTATTTTGACAAGAAATTACCAAGAAATTGTAGAATCCATATTCCGCCTTCAAGAGGGAGCTAAACAAATACCTTTTATTAAAATAAAATGTTAGCCACAGCGGTTTGGGAACAGAGCAAGTAAATAGGACTGAAAGGATTGCTCTTGAGGGAACTCGCTCAAGAACGATGGGGGCAGAATGGCCTTCTTCTGTGTCATTAAATTTCTGTAATTTTCTGACTGGTAATTTCTGATCCCTGCTGGTTCTTTCTGTACTTCAGTGTAAGGCTTGTTAATGGGATTGTTCTGCCAGATCTTCTTACCCAGAGGATGTATCGTATTATATGTTCTTCTGCAGAAATGTATGTGTAAACTGCTGTAACCATGGCAAAGGCATGTGTCAAAACTTCCTCTTTGTCTTTTTTTTCTCGACAGTTAAGTAGCCACTTGTTACAGTGTCCCAATGTAGTTGTCCACTGCAGTTACTCTAATTACGGATGTAACTTCCTGGTAAGTATACACAAACTTATTTCCATTCAGTTATTTCTATTAAATTGCTACTGAATGCAAAATAGAGAGAAAAAGAATGAAATTGAATTGTAGAGTTAGTGAAGGACATCTTTGAGACCACTGGACAAAAGCATGCTTTATGGCATCGTGCATATATCCTACTCTTACAAATGTGAAATCTAATTCTTAGCTAAATAACGCACTTTCATGAACTATATATATTTAATTGTCAGCTCACTGGACTTTATTGACTAGGTTTGTTTGAACATGCAAAGGTACAGTTACATTGCATTCTTTTATGTTTTGCTTACAGTCCCACTGAATTTTGTTTCCTTTTTTTCCCTGTTACAGGGAACTAACCAGGAGCTTAAAACACATGAAGCTAACGCTATGGCACAGCATTTGAACCTTTCAATGATTAGAAATGTAGATAACGAAACCAAGGTAAGTGGAGGAGGAAGATAATCCATGAATATTTTTTAATCTATATTTACTGTGTGTGTGTATATATATATATTTTATATATATGTAAAATTAGACACAGAGTTTATGAAATAAACCGTGACTGTTACATTTTTGATCCCTCAATCTGCTTTTGCAAAGGAATTTCCATCTGATGTTTGCTTGAATTTAGTAAATGTTGCTTTTGGTAACTAACTGACGGCTGTGGGACAAATTGCCAACATCAAACCAAAACAGCAAAGGATCTTATAAGGTCTTATTTAACTTTTGGTTGACTATTTCCAGGCATTGTTCCAACTATGAGCTGATCTCTTACATTTAGACTTGGAAGAAAAAGATCAGCTTTAGCCAACGCCCTTAAATTTTCCTCCCTCCTCGGTGTTCCCTTACGGTCTCTGTAAAATGCCTTGGGAAGTTCTTTCTCATGTTCTGTTGGTTTATTGGTGCGTCAGACTCGGCTGCTGTTCCCCTCCCCCTCTGCATATCATTTGTCCTCGACTGGTGATATTGAAGTGTATTTTTAACGAACAATGGCTTGTTCAAACGAAGGTCATAGATTCAGTTTTATACCGAATTTGCAGTTGTTTTGGATTTAAATGTTACCATGTAAATTGACGCCAGCATGTTTGCTGCACATTGTTGCATCTAAAGTTGCTGCCATTGAAACGTTGAAATCTGCATTGCGAACACATTTGAATCGGTGCTTATTGTTTTTTTGGCCTCCCACCTAAAGTACATCTCAAGATCTAAGGATGTGTTAGTTGACTCATCGCTCCCTTTGTCAAAACAGTGTGAAGCAACAATAAACATGGTACACTCTATGCTGTGCTATTTCGCCAGACCAATTGAGTTGAGATTCTCAGAAGTAATACTCAAATAATATAGTGTCTGGTCAGGCCACATACCGGAGTACTTGTTACAGTTCTGGTCATCATGACCAGTAAGAGGGATGTCCAAGGACCTAGAGGCAGTGCACAGGAGAGCAGCATTCATGAGCCAGTGATACAGGAGTGAAAAACAATTAGACATTTCAGAGGGCATGGTATAAAGAACAATACTTTCGGGAAGTATACAGGAACAGGTTGCCTGAGGAAGGGTGCTTGAAACCAGGACATGGGACTCGTTTGAATAAAAAAAAAGCAGCTCAATGTTGTGATGGGATGAAAACAGATTGGTGAATAATCTGAGAAAATTTGGATTAGATTTGCAAAATTGGAAATTTGGATGCCAACTGAGGTTATACGCATCAATGTTCCTTGTTCTTCTTGAAATATTCCCTATTTTCCCAAGAGATGAATGGTGCTGGCACACTCGCTAAAGAACAGTCACTATATTCTTTGCCTTATTCTAGGTTTCCCAGCTCCAGAATGAACTGCAGGACAAGTGTAAAATTATCCAGTCCATGTCCATTCAGATAAGCACCTTGGAGAAAGAACTGGTCAAGTTTGGGCAACTCGCAAATAAAAATGAAGGTCGGCTGGGCCACTTACAGGTAAGAACTGAGGACTTCTAATGAGGAACAATGCGGGCGGTTTCTTCAAGTTTCTGTTGTCAGCTTATAGTACAAGTGCTCCATGCTCAAGTACTGTATGCCATCTTGAACCACAGTTTGCCTTCATTTGTATGGATGCCTGTTTGTTCAGTGTAATTTATGGGGGGGTGGCGAGGGGTTTGTTAAGCGATGGATTCTGCATTTTGTAGTATGTACACAATTCAGTAGGTAAATCAATTAGATTTGCTTAACTTGGTATTGTATTTGGATGGAATACATTAGTAATAAAAGCCCAATAGAATCTGTCTACCAGAACAAACCTAACCAAAGTACATTTCTATAGCGCCTTTCATGTCTGGAGCATGTCTTTAAACGCACTTTACACAGCTGGCAGTAGGGGGTGGGGGAGAGATGAGTGCGATCAAGAGAGAAGTTTTAAGGCTGGCTTTAAGAGTGGGTAAGGCAGAGGTGAGGGGGGGGGGTTTCATTACCCGTTGCAGTGTGCTGTACAAGAATCGTTTTTCCCTGGAACATTAAGAGAGAAAATAAAACTAGGGTGGAGTAGATTCCATGAACTGTCGACTGTAAGACGAACACCCAAGCAGAACACACTTTCGGGAAATCCTGGCACTGCCTCTATCTATCTGAAGTGTAAAGAGAACAGGTTGAAAGTGCTGGGAGTGGAATATAACACCACAAAACTGGGGGTCTGTTTATTTCAGTAGTGAATATCCCATCAAAGCTGGAGTTCAGAATCCGATTGCTGTCGTGACTTAATTGTCGACTTAAACTACTGAGAAGCAAAACTAAAAATACAGTGGAAGGGGAAGTGAATGTCTAAGGGGAATCTGTAGGGTTTGTCCCTCCCATCTCTCATTGGCCGTGTTTAGTGAAAAAAAGATGCGAATCCGTCTATAATTAACCGCAACTGACACATTTTATGATAATGCACAGATGATGTTTGAAGACAGAAAGGCTAGCTTTCTTATAGCTCTCAATATGAAATCAGTGCTGCACATAAAGCAGCACTTACTGAGCACAGCTTCTGAATGAGTAATGCCGATTGACTGGAAAGAATGTTATTCAAACAGTAAAATCTGGGTGTCAAAAATATACCCACTAGTTAGACTCATTGATGACCACTCAAATCTAGCAGGGCATTGGGAGCTCTTGGACATTCTTTAGATACGTTAAAAAATATATAGTTTCTACTAAAATCTTTCGTTCCTTTTTAAATTTTCTCTCCTCTTTCATGATGACACTGACTCTGGCTGGGACCTGATTCCAAAGACCCCAGGAACTCTCTCTTGCTTAATCCAAGGAGTCGCTATCTATGTTTGAGACTTGCAAGCTATTGCAGTCGAGGGCAGCAAAGCTAAGACGAAACCCTTTCTCTCTCTAGCCCCCTCGTTAGGAATGTCCTGCTAGTGCCAGTTATAGGGAATAGAATTCCCCTTCTCCTTGTATCTGACCAAAAGCATTCCATATGGCACAACAATACACGGGGGAATAGGCGATGTGTACACTGAGGCACTTATATTGATGATTTATATCGCTAGGTTTTCACATGTTTGCACACTTGGGAGTAATTGTGCCTTGTAATTGGGATGTCCTCCAGATGTGAAAGGCGCTATGTAACCAATCTAGGTTGTTGTTAATTCATATCAATATGCCACTGTATTAGTAGGGATGCTTATTAGGGAGTTAGCCATTAGTTAATTAGTCTGTGACCAGATACTGAAAGCCTTGATGTGGAACAATGTTTTGCATGTATTTGGGATTCCCACTGATGCTTTAGATTCTTCTTCACAGAGTAAACTAGGGGGTTGATTTAAGTCCCAGATTCCTTAGGCTACTTTTGAGCTAGGCATGTATTAGTCCCCTCATGAGTATCTTGCAAAATTAATTTGGGACCATTCCCTGAAGCTGCTGCAGTTTATCCATGGAAGTGGGAGTATTGGATTTCTTTTATACCAAGATACGCAGTTAATAGACACAAAACTGCCATGGGAGTTGAGTGCCTGCACAAAGCGCGATTGAATAGCTTTTCACCTGTGAGCAGCGGAACGGAACTCAATTAGAGTGCGATTTCAGCAGGTTGAAGGCCTCCAAATCTAGGCCGTTCACTGTAATAACAGCATTTATCCTGCACTTGGCTGCACCTTTGGAAGCAGACAATTGGAGGTTCTGACGATAACTTGGCACTTTCCACCTTTGCTAAATTTACACTGTGAATGATCTCCGTGTGCACAGGTTCTAGTGTGGAACGAACCCACGGATAACAGCGCAACACAGAACACAGAAATACAAATTGCCCGAAATCTTTCATGTTATGTCAAATATAACAAGTCTTTTTTTGTGTAGAAAATGTTGGCCAACCAGACGGACCAACTGTTCACCATTAATCAAGCTTCACAACAGACTCACCAGAGGCAGGAGGAGACGATCCGGGAGGTGAAGGTTGTCAAAGAATCTGTGGACGGACTCCAAACGAGAGTGAGGCAGCTGGAAGTCACCAGCAGAGCTGGGAATGCGGGTGCTGGACAGAGCAGTCTGAGTGAGTACAGCAGCCTCATTGCTCCGGTGCGCAGTCTATTGTCCATAGTCACACTGTGGAAATCTAGAACAATGGGGGCATCATCTTAACATTAAAGCTAAGACATTTAAGAAGAAATTTTTCACGCAAAGGGTGGTGGAAATCTGGAAAACTCTCTCCCCCCAAAAGGCTGTGGATGCTGGATCCATTCAAAGTTTCAAGACTGAGGTGGATAGATTTTTGTTAGGTCAGGGTATTGAGGGATATTGGACAAAGGTGGTTAATTGGAGTTGAGGTACAGATCAGCCATGATCTAATATAATGGCAAAACAGGCTCAAGGGGCTGAAATGCCTTCTCCTGTTCCTATGATAGGAAATCACTACAAGTGATCTCACAGAGATGGAGATTTCATAAGCCCATTTTCCAAGTTCAGCTAGCTAAGACTGGATGAAGTCTGTTGTTTTGATGAACAGCTCCTGCCTGAACACATCTAGAAGAATGTTTTACTTCCGAGGGTTCCTTCAAAAATGATCTTTTAGCGATCGAACGCAGTCTTACCAGAGTTGATAGTTTCACTAAGCATTGCAGATGCCTTTTCAGATTTTAACAAGGGAGGCAAACAAAGGGTTGCTTCTCAAAATCAATTTTATTTTAATATACATTTCACTATCATTCTTCCAATAGATTTATGAGTGGGTTGGCCAGAATAAAGCAAAAATCCTCAATAGTTTGGTTTGAGTGATTTTTAAAAATATACATTTTCTATTCCCAGCTGGATTGGACAATCAAGTAAGGAGACACGACAGCTTGCTCAGTGTTCACGACGTCCGCCTGGCAGACATGGACCTTCGATTTCAAGTCTTGGAGACTGCCAGCTACAACGGAAAGCTCATCTGGAAAATCCGGGAGTACACCCGCCGGAAACAGGAGGCTGTTAGCGGAAAAACATTATCCTTGTACAGCCAGCCCTTCTACACAGGATATTTTGGCTACAAGATGTGCGCCCGGGTTTATCTCAATGGGGACGGTATGGGCAAAGGGACTCATTTGTCACTGTTTTTTGTAGTTATGCGGGGAGAATATGATGCCCTGCTACCCTGGCCCTTTAAACAGAAAGTAACTTTGATGCTGTTAGATCAAGGAGCAGAAGAAAGTCATTTGGGCGATGCTTTCAAGCCAGATCCCAACAGTAGCAGCTTCAAGCGCCCGCTAGGAGAGATGAACATTGCTTCCGGCTGCCCTCTCTTTGTTACACAGACTGTCTTGGAAAGCAGGACTTATATTAAGGACGACACGATCTTTATCAAAGTAAGCGTTGATACTTCAGATTTGCCTGACCCATGAGCCACTGTGCATCAACCAAGAGAGTGAGCAAAGGTTCAAAATGCATGATCCGCACCAGTACAGTACGGAATCGTCTGAACAGCAGGGCATCCCTCCCAGCTCAGTGCTGATCGCTTGTACGGTTCATGTGAGCATCTGAAGGGTTTGGCCACTTTCAACATTAGGAGGTGACATGGAATGCCGCAGATAATTTAATTGCATCAATATTTGGTCGAGATGATTCATTCAAAGGGTTTCTGTGGGATTAACAATGTGGGATACTTTTCTAAGTATCACTGAAATGTTTTTTTGGCCAGAACTGGCCATGTGGGGATTCACTGTCAAGTCAAATCCATGCGGGAGCATCATGTGGGAACCAAGATCAGCAGCATGTTTGTTAGCATAATGCAGTCAGGGTACTAAGTGAGCTACTACAATGTGGTCAAAATGTTTTACCTTTTCATCATTTTGTGTCATTTCAAGGGGAAGGTTCAGCTTGTAGGTAAAGGGAAGCTCGAGAGCTGTAGAAATGCAAGTCCAGATCATCGACTGTGAAATTCACTATCCATTTTGTGGTCCTGTTTCTCAATCCTGAAATAAACTGTTGATGATAAGCGGTGGGGACAGGGTTATTAAAGCGGAGCATAACTGGGAAGGTGAGGGAACTTCTTGATAGTTCTCGGTCACAGCACTCTGGAGATTCCCTCCCAGCAGCTCTATCATTCATTGTAATGCACCCAGTGAAAAGGTCCATGAGATGGAGAGACGACAAGTGTTTTGCGATGGTTTCTCAAAGCCTGTTAATTGTCAGACGACTGGCGTGCCATCACTCTGGGATGTTCGCAGCTTGTAGAGGATGGAGACTCTTTCAAACATTTCAATCCCGTTTAAAGTTGGATTCAAATCATAACTTAAATTATTTTGTTCATTTGTTTCCATGTACCTATCACTGCAATGTTTACAACTAATGTAACCTCAATCTTCTGTTTTCAAATTACTGAAAAAGAAGCATTTATTTAATCGAGGCTGTGTCAGCGTGTGTGTGTTTTTTTTTCTCTCTGTTATGTGTCTCTGGTGGGCACCAGTGGTGATAGTTTCATACCTGATACTTTTTTACCCTTTCTCCATCGGGTGATTGCTTGCCTTCACACACAGGAAAGGCTGGAAATGATTAGCAGGTAGATCAGCATTTGAAAGATGGATCAGCATTTGAAAGATGGGGCAATATTGCAGGGGTCAACCTTGAACCTGATCTGATGAATGTGAGCACCCACCCCCCACCCCACCACACATACACAAACATATATGCACACACCCTAAAGTCCAAATTGTTTTCGTCCTTCTAGTACTGATCAAACTCTTTGGGTTTTCTCAGGATTTTATGATTTTAGTTCTTAATTTCTGTCTCCGTTGTCAAAGGCAAACTGTATTCAGGGGCTTAAAGGTCTGTAGTTTCGGAAAATTCTTTCCCACAAAAGTTATGGTTCAAAACCCAATTTACCCCTTTTTGTCTGTGAAATGGTAAGTTTTGGAGTTTTTAAAGAAAATCCCCTCCACCAGTTTTGACAAGAAAATTAATTCCATAGTTTTATTCAGGAGTGAAAATAAAAGCCGGGCTTTTAAAACACTGCTTTACAAGGTGCTTTGTTCCGCCATTCAACCATTACTGCTTTGACCACGGGGCAAATTGACATTTGCAAAATTTTTTGCATTGTTTTCTTGAATTATTTTGCAATAAAGGTTGTGGCTTTGATGCAAATATATTAGGGTCAGTGTTGCTCTTGGTGTCCCTTTGTCCTTCCCCTGTACGGGAGGAAAGCTCAGAGATGTGAATGTACCGTTTTCAATGTTAATGATCAGTCAAGGGACTCTCAAAGTAGATAACTGGCACCTTGGGAGTTATTATCAACCCACTCAGGAACTTCTGACGGTTACATAACCTGAGGTTAATAACTAAGAGTGGAACATTATTTTTGTCCATCGAGCCCACTTCCTGAACAGTCCACAGGCAACTTACCCACCAAAGATTTCACTCGCACTCTCAGTCCTCTTTAAAATTTCCAATACAGACCCTAAACACAACTGAGCAAAAATATCAAAGCATCCCTCATGGAAGGAAAGCCTTCAGGTGTGATTTGAAGACTAACAAGATGGAGAGATCGAGGCAAGGATTTCCAGAAATTCGGGGCACAGAGGCTGAGAGCATGGCCGCCAATTGTGGAGCGGAGAGGACGAGGGATGTGCATCCGATCCGTACAGGTGATTTGAAGGGATTCCTTGTACCTGAATCAAACCAGGCCTGCTACCCTTTGTAGACATTTACAACCCCAAAATACCACCCGAGTATTGAGGTGACATTATAAGCATTAAATTCTTCCCGAGTCTTATTTTCCTTTATGTTGGCTTTGCTGGGAGCCACCAGCACAGCTATCACTTAGATATTCAGGGCCTGTCAAAGTCTGTAGAATTACTGTACATAATCGCTGCTCACAATGATCACTAAGAGTGGATGACTAGGAAGTGCACTTATAAATTGCCAGCAGTAATTGTTCCCTAATACAGTACATAATACAACAACAACTTGCATTTATATAGTGCCCTTCATGCAGGTAATGTCTCGGAGTGCTAAACAGCAGTGTGGCTTGATGCCGAACTGGAATGGGAGGAATGGTGACTGAAGGTACATCTGAAAAGGGAAGCCTTCAGGTGTGATTTGAAGACTGACAAGATGCAGAGATTGAGGCAAGGATTTCTAGAAATTTTGGACCCATTGGCACGGTTGCCAATTGTGGAGTGGAGAGGACGAGGGATGTGCATCAGACCCATACAGGTGATTTGAAGGTATTGCTTGTCAGTGAAATAAAATATCCCACTCATGGGTTTAAGTGACCTTCGTTCATTAATTGGAAGTTAAAAATCTGAATAATGAGGTTTTGTGTGAGATTAAAAGTTTTTTTTCCAAAAAATGCAAGTTGACTGATTAAAAGTTTAAATAAATTCCTTTTAGGATGTGTGTGTGTGTGTGATAATTATCTATTGAAAACTGATAATATGACGGGGTTTGTCTGATAACACGCGTCACATCTCTGATTTCACTGGGATGTCGAAAAGCTGTGTCGTTGCATTCGGGATGTCCTGAGGAAATGTCCTAAGAATCATATTCCTCCTTATATTTGTATTGAAAAAAAGAAGATTCCTGCAACAAGTAAACATTTTGAATTTTTTTTAAGACAAGTTTGCCTTCATGTCACCTTGAGCTTCATCTTGCAGTGAGTGAGTCAGCCAATGTACGTCACCAGCAAAGCCTCCTCAAGGTTGCTCCAGGAAAATTTTAATTCTCAATTTTTTTTTATTTTTGGACCAAGGATGTCGCTGGAGAGATTTACGGGGGTGGCGGTGGGGGGGGCTTTGTCCTGTTAAAATTGTTTCTATGTTCAGACCTTTCAGGAATGATACCGATGTGTGTCCTTGTGTCCTACAGAGCTGGCTTTGAATTCCAATCCAAGCTGATGTTGGTGCTCAATCTGCTTTTAATTGAGTCATCGGTTTGCTAAGTGGTATTAGCAGAGTGTATAGATATCACCTGCCCATCATTATTAGTAAATCCACTGAACGGAACATGGCATAACTCTAAATATTTGCCCAGAAAATATACAGTTAATTGACTTTACAGTATATTCTGTGAAGTGCTTAGAGATGTCTCGATGAAGTGATATATCAAACACAAGGATCATTATTATTATAAATAGCAGAAAATTAACCTGATCTTAAACAAAGAAGTAAGTACTGTACAGCCAATTCCAGTTTTCAGCAGCTTTGAACATCAATCATGGAATGAAAAATGGACCCTTCAGCTCATCCAGCTCACTAGCTATTCAAACCTCACCATACAATAGGCTTCACACCTTCATTTAATTTCTGGGAAAAAAAGTACTGTGTTGCAAAGTATTCTCCTACTCCCCTCAGCTCCAACGCCCAGTCAGAATTGTCAAACGCTGTGGGACGTCCTCCCAACATTGAAGAATTTATATAAGTTTCAATTATACTGTACTGTAACCAAACGGTTGAGAATCGCTGGACTAAACACTGACTGCCTGGGCTCAGGCTTGAAGAATGACCGACCACTCATGTAAGATACTCAGTGCCCAGAGCCCTCCTCTGCCAATTTGTATCATTGCCTTGTATAAAGGGAAAACATCAAAGGTAAAATCAGAAGGAAGAAAATAACATGTAAACATGTCAGTTACTGTAGCACCATAACCCATTACTGTTTAACTTTCAACTCTTGTCAATTACTTCCTCTGGCACCTGCTGTGGGACCTGTCAGGTGACGTCTCCACAGTGAACCTGCTCAAAGTTTACTGAGGAGTTGCATGTCGAGTGGCACTTGCTGCAGTGAGCAGGATGAATCCAGCGCACCTTATTCTGTGCAGTCTGCTTTTCGGTGAGTACAGCATTGATCCTGGAGTCCTTGCTTTACTGTTTGCTTGTAACCTCGAGACTGGGCAAAACCAATCGAGCTGCGCATTTCCACAGCAGTAAGACCAGAAAGCAAAGTTGGCAATTTAGGGGGTTTGTTGCAAAACATTACAAATTTACCATAGGGGGTGAGTTCAGCTGCCTCGGGAGGGAAGGGACTCTTATCAGGACCAGCTGGGGATGTTTAGCTCATGTAGAAAAAAAAAACAAATTCAGTGCAGTGATTTTTCTAATTCTACACCTTCAACCGCTTGGAGTTGTTGAGAATTGCACAGTCCAGGAACATGCTAATAAAAACAATCCCAATAAACTGCAGTTAATTATTGTTAGTATGTATGTGCCACCATAGCATTGTACAAATCAGAGTCCTGTAAATGTCACAAAAATAAATCCTTGCATTTTTCTTCCACTCCTAAATCTGCAAGTCAGTCACTTGTAATCAGTAAACTCAGCTCTGACTATCTTACCTTGGGACACTGCTGCCCCAATTAATTGGCTGCTGTGTTTCGCCCACAAAATATACAGTCAATTCACTTTACAGTATATTCTGTGAAGCACTTTGAGATGTCTCGAAGACGTGATAGGGCGCTATGTCAAATGCAAAGATTATTATATTTATAATATTGTTACCTGAGCTGTTTCTCTCCTACTACCCACTTGGTCTGGTTCTATCTAAATTATCTCAACCTACAACATACAGTCACTATGTTTTGTAGTCAATTCTGTGAATTGCTTTGAGACATCCTCCCAACTTGAAAGGCACTACATCAAGTACAATGAGTATTATTATTATTAACTCAATTTGTTTTGCTACAGATGTCTCAAATGCCTTGCACAGAGAATGGATACCTGACACCGACTTCCACAATGCCACAAACTGGGATAAGGGGAGGGTTCCTTGTAAAAATGATCACGTGTACTTTTCCAGAGATCAGGTACATTATAGAAGTCATCTCGGTCGTTTGGGTTTTCTGCTCACAGTGAGCAAATGAAACTCGCGTTGGTTTTTATTGGACCCTGTTGTTTTCTTTCAGAGTGTCTCTGTTTTTGTGGAGTCACCGCTTGCTCTGATGGACATGGTAAGGACACCACTGCATGTTGCAAGCTAACGGCAGCTAGTTACATACGTATCTCGGTTTTAGCCCACTCACCCCCACTTTCCCTTTCCCCTCCCCCCCCTCCCCACACATGCACGTCATTCAATAAATAGTTAATGTGTTTCTGTGCAGTAGTTTGACATAGTTTAGTCTTTGGCCTCTATTCCCATAAGTGCTTAAGCTGTGTACTTTGAACTATCTCATATTTATTCTATCAATATACAACTGGAATAGTTTTAAATAGTAGCAGACAGCTAAATCAACTTGGTATCTGGAATAAGAGACTGAGGAAAATAGGGAGAAATGTTTACACAAGGCGATTTCAGAGGGTGAAAGATAGCATTTTTGTTCGCCCCTCCACCCCACCATTTTTTTTCTTTCATTTCGGTCAATTCTTTGCCAAATATGTGCAATTTGGATTACTGTTTCAGCACTATGCAATTGCAACTCTGACTTGACATGGCTCAAACACAGGGTAGAGATTCCCCCCTAAACAATGAGGTTAATGTCTTTCCAGAAAAGTATGCCTTACTGCATGCCAGAGAGATTTCCATTCCCCATCCCAGCTGTTCTTAAACTCCCTCAGCTCAATGCTCCATTTCATGTCAAATTAGAAGCTGTTGTAAAAACTGGACTCGTATCCACTGGGACCTCATTTGAGTTTATCCAATTCAAAATTATTATTACTTGGGATCCTTAACAGCTGCCTGAAGACAGGCCGACATTTTATAAAGCTTATTATAATTGCTCATTGTTTAATGAGTATAGACCTGTACTTTCATGTAGAGAAGCCGTAATATAATGATTCTGGTCCAGAGTTTGGTACAAGGGTCCACTACTGTGTAAAGATTCCATTTCTCCTGCTCCCTCCCCATAGCACAATTGGTAGGGTTTCTTTAAAGCCAAAAGGTTATTGCAAAAAATATTTCACATTGCTGTTTGACTGGACTGGAAAGAAGAGCAGTGTTCCTTTCAGGTCAAATCTGCATTGACTATTCTCTCTTCCTCAGGTTTCACTTGCTGTATGAAATTTGAAATTAATAAACATCTGAATCAATTATATAGACACTCCAACGCAGTGCTGGGTGAGCTTTCCATTGTTGGAGGTGCCATCCTTCAGTTGAGATGTTAAACTGAGGTGCTGTCTGCTTCTTCAGCTGGAGATAGCACTATTTGAAAAGAGAAAGGAATTTTCTCCCAATGTCTTGACCAACATCCCCCAGATAAAATTGGTCGTTCACTTTATGATTGTTTGTGGAACATTGCTGTGTGCAAATGGTTGCTGCATGCGCCTACAAATACACAGTCACTACATTTCACAATAATTCCTGTGAAGGGTGCCTTTGAGACGATTCGACACCTTGATAAGGCATTGTACCAAATGCAAGGATTATTATGATGAAACAGGCTAACACTCCTTCTTCCCAATCCTTTCAGAAAATCCCTGTCAATGGAGAGTTCATCTTCAAACAAGGTGCTGGGTTTGTTGCTAGTGATGGGCAAAGTGAAGCGGGATGTGAGAAAGGTACACGTTCATTTATTGTGGTGACCAGTGTGTTTCCCCTGAAAATAGTTGGTGAATTTCTGTTATATAATACACAGTAATAAAATATGTAACAATAGACTCCTCCAGAGTCTCTGTCAGGTTGCAGGATTTGCTGAGCAATGCTCTGTACCCAGTTCAGGATCAAATCTCTGAGAGATACGCTCAATTTTGGATCGTTTTAAGCGTTTCACTGATAAATATTTCAAGTTCTGGATCAATAGGAGCTCACCTCTGAGAGGTACTGCAAGTTCTTGATCAATATTACCTCTTCCTCAACTGTTAATCCTAGTTCATGATAAATATAACCTAATTGGTGTTGATGCATCGTCCTCTGGATCAATAAGAGATTTTCAGTGACAAATGTTTCCGGGTCTGGATTAAATAAGAGCTGTTACCTGAATTCCCAAGTTCTGGATGTGCACAAACTTGTCCCTTGATTATGCTTGAAGTTAAACTCTCAAAGCTGGGTTCAAATCCAGTATAGTGATAGCATGAAATCTCCACTGTCTGTGGCCCTATATTAAATAATTCCAGTGACTAAGAGTTCATGTTGGATGGAGGCAGGTGTGAGATGTATGGTACAGTAGAGACAACAGTACAGTAGAGGGTGTATTTTTGAGCCTGAGGTTAAAGCCCTTTTGCTGGGATAGTGCAATGCATGCTTTAACCCACGTGCTTACCCCGTGCTGTAGCTCTGAGTACAGTTTTTGACCGGGCTCAAAAAGGAAACATATTTAGTTTCCAACAGTGCTATTCAACACCACGATGATCGCAATAAAATTCAGCATAAAAACACTCACAACCAGGACAAAAAATCTCAAAACTGAGAACTCGGCTTCTGAAGTGCGTAAGGTGCAAGACATGTCTTTTTCAATTCAATTACAGGTGAGGATATCACCTTTAAAAATCCCAATCGGTATCAATGGTTTGATCCCAAATACTGGCTCACACCTTTGTCCTCGGCTGAGCTGGAAAATGAGCCGTACCTGTTCACTATGGATGAGGAAAGGGTTCCCTGTCAGTATGATGATATCATTTTCCAACCTGAATCATCTTTCCGGGTGGGTTTGGACACAGATGCTCCTCAAATTAATGTCAAGACTATTTCCATCATGAATAAGGTGAGTGTTTCATGGCTTCAGGTCACTAACTGGGAATCTTAGCCACTGGACACAGCCCTCGTAGACTATTGAGGCAAAATGTCTTGCATGGAAAATTTTGTCTTAGTTTTAGAACAAGGAAGATATGACTTAAAAGAGTGATAACATATTTAACCAATTACTCTTGACTTTCTTAGTCCTTTTCACCTTTCTAAACTAATCATCCATAAATCCAGAAAAAGCTTTTATTATAATCTTTAGGAGATGGATCTTTGTTGTGCTTACAACAGACTCTGCCCTAATCCAAAGCACAGTCGCTGCACTTTACAATAAATTCTGTTGAAGGGCTTTTCCGTGAAAGCGGTCCACCAAATGCAAGGATTATTAAGAATTTTCAACAATTACTTTAGCTTTCATTATAAAGATGGTTGAATGAAAATTTCTGTAATTTTACCAAATTAAATTTTTCAGTCATCAAAAAAAAACTTTGTTCTTTTTTTCTGAATATTATTGATTGTATCAACTTCAGCCATTCAAATAGATGGAAAATGAAAGCCTCTGTAACTTGCTTCAAATAGCATATTGGAAAACAACTCGTGAATAAATGCAAGACGGAATATATGGATTATATTAATTGATTCTCTTTTGCTGTTTCATTTCATGTAGGATTAACTTTTTTTTCTCTCTCTAATAGAAATTTACCAGCAATGAAGAATTTGGTCAGTATCAGCTGACAAATACAGGAAAACTGCAGTTTCATGGAAGTGGCTCGATCAGTTTGACTAACAAGTCATGTGAAGATAAATCAGGATGTGAATGTGGTAACTCTGCTGTAAGCACGTGGTCGAAGCAAAGGATAGCATTAACTGTATCAACATAAATCCCCCCCCACACCTGTTCATTTTGCCATGAAACCTGAACCTTTCTGCACCTTACATTGTTATACTGAAGCTATGTAAAGTTACATTTCCATTTCTTTATATATACTTTACAACTACTTGCGCTTGCAGTTATAAAGTGGAATATTCCATCTTGAGGACAAGTACAGCAGTTTCCTTACCTTACAGCAGACTCTGCCCTACCTTATGGTGTGGCACATGTTTACTATGGAACACCTACCAGTAATAGATGGTGTATTGTGCATTTTAGGAACTTCAGTGATAGATCTCAACTTTATCCATCAGTGTTTACAGCCAGAAGCTTGATATGTCACCCCTGTAGATGATATTTTACCCTGTGTGCATCGTTTGTTTTGGGAATGTCTGTGAACTGGGGGAATGGAATGGTCTGCGCGAGGCAAGGATTAATAATAATAATAATTCCTACATTTGATAAGTAGTAAATGCATGCATGCATACATACATACATACACACACACATACATAAAAAAATCTGGTGCTCTGGCAATGTCTGCTCATCCTATGTGATGCTGACTAGTGAACAGTGCATGCTCACTCATGTACTGGTTCAGTTACTAAATCGAGTGAACCTTCGATGGAATGGCGTTATTTACTGCTTTCAAAATAACACATGGCCCAGCTTGGAATCATCCGTGTGCTTGGTATCATCTTGCTTAAGAGCATAGTTAGAATGAGCGAAGACCTGTACAAACAAGGAGTTTCAGGGAATTGGCTGCAGATAGCGTAGCCTGGAATTTGGAGGTGGGCAGGAGCACACAGCTGCAGTTTGCTCAATCTGTTGTGGTGGAAAAGTGAGAACAAACGGCTCCACTAACGCCACTGGCACTCGTATCTTAAACATTGAATACAATGCTTTTATTCAATTGCCTTGTGATTATATATTTCTACAAGGGTGATCCAATCTTCTGCTCTATTCAGCCTCCCGAATCCCCCTCTGAATTCTATTTGAATAACGTATGTGCACTACCTTCTTATCACTGTGACTCATAAGAGATGAGAGCTTTAAGTTATTGAAGCGGGAGCGTGCCTCTGTCTGTTTGCCAGATCCCCACCTCAATCCCCCCCCACCCCCACCCCAGGGCATGCTCCTTTTCTTCTGAAGGGATTAATTTATGCTGGGATCCAGTTGCACGACGTCCTTGTTTATGTACTGGAAACAAGCAAAGCTGAAGGTCAGAGCAGCAAAACAGAGCAGGGCTGTGATATGCTACCCAGCGTGAAGAGTGCTAGATAACTGCAAGTTATTATAATAATAATAATCCTCGTATTTGATATTGCATCTTATCACGTCAGCGAGACGTCTCAAAGCGCTTCAGAGAATATACTGCATAGTGAATTGACTGTATATTTTATTGTAAACACATGAGGTCTCCATAGGTGTTCTTCAGCTATGTTCCATAGGTGAATAATATATCTGTATACATCTGTTTATCCACACTTTCCTTCTCAGAACCTTGGCAGGATTTGTTCCAACCTGCAACAAGATTCAGGGAGCCAATGTCCAGGCCTTCATTGTGCAAATGCTCTGAAACCTCAAGGCCATTGCTGTGGGATATGTGGTGAGTGTCACTCATCTTTCCTTTACACTCTCATTTGCATTTATCATAAGTGAATTCAATTCAGATCCCATTCATTACATTTAGTGAAGGCTGGGTTGCATGGTAATGATGGAGCAAATTGGTCCTTAAATAACATGAAATTCAATCTCCGTCACTATAAAGCATCAGGCTGTATATTTGTGCTGAACTGAATAGTGTGAACTGCCAGTGGAGTGTGGTGTAACCCGCACTCCCTATCTCAGTTGATCCCTTCCTTTCCACCACCAACTAACCTTCGAAAATTGCATGAGTAGAAACAAAGTTTTTGACTCCGATAATGGCAAAACTCATTTGAGGGAATAACGTCATTGGAATCAAAATTCTTAAAAGTCATGGAGAATCTGTGTAACTAAAATCAAAAGGATCTTCGTTTGTGAATTTACTCGTTATCTTTAGAATTACTGTCCCATTTACATGCCTAGATGCAGATTAAAAACTATTGTGAAGAATACAAACTGAACAGCGCACTTAAGTAGAACTATGAGTCTTGGTGGAAGGTGTAAAGTTGAGGCAGTTTTGGTTTAAGATAAATTCTGATCACTACTTTACTGCTAACAGCAGATTCTACTATCGTAGCCAATCTAGTATTCTAGGCTTTTTATTGGTATTGTATCTTAGTTGCAGTTGAGGAAAATAGAGACTTTGTTTCTTTGTTCTGATATTTGTGAAAAATTATGTCTACCTTTAGTATTTATATTTTTCTAAATGTTTGTTCAATAACACTGTATTGATGGCTCGTTGAATTCCAGGTGCCATTATTTACTTAGAATATAACCACTTGTTTGACATAGAGGCCTACAGAGAACAACTCATCAACTCGTTCCTTGGTTTGGTATGTATGAATGTGTGAAGAGACGTCTCTCTTTATACATTCACCTCTACGTGTACAGTATTTAATTATTTCTTCAGAATATGAATAAATAATGGTTTATAAGAACATAAGAACATAAGAATTAGGAGCAGGAGTAGGGCATTCATCCCTTCGAGCCCGCCCCACCATTCAATAAGATCATGGCTGATCTATTCTAACTCCACCTACCTGCCTTATCCCCATATCCTTTAATCCCTTTGTCCATAAGAAATCTATCAATCTCAGTCTTGAATACGTTCAAGGACGGAGTATCTACAGCCCTATAACATAACATGTAGGAACAGGAGTAGGTCAGTTGGCCCTTCGAGTCTGCCCTGCCATTCAATCATGGCTGATCTTCTAATCTAACTCCAGCTAATAACCTGTCCCTGCCTTATCCCCATATCCTTTAATCCCTTTTGCAATAAGAAATCTATCTCAGTCTTGAATATGTTCAAGGACTGAGCGTCAACAGCCCTTTGGGGTAGTGAGTTCCATACATTCACCACCCTTTGAGTGAAGAAGTTCTTCCTCAACTCAGTGCGAAAGGGCTGCCTCTGATTTTAAGGTTGTGACCCCTGGTTTTAGTTTCTCCAACCAGGGGAAACAATCTCCCACTATCTACTCTATCGTGCCCTTTGATGATCTTATAGGTTTCTATAAGATCCCCTCTAATACTTCTATATTCTAGAGAATATAGGCCCAAATTGGTCAGCCTATCCTCGTAACTCATCCCCTTCATCCCTGGCACTAACCTAGTAAATCTACGTTGCACCCCCTCCAAGGCAAATAAGTCCTTCCTTAAATGAGGAGACCAAAACTGGACACAGTATTCCAGGTGTGGTCTCACCAGGGCCCTATACAGTTGCACTCTTATACTCTAATCCTTTCATAATGAATGCTAACATACCGTTTGCCTTCCTAATTGCTTGCTGCAAAGGTTTGGGGTAGAGAATTCCATAAATTCACTACCCTCTGAGTGAAGATGTTTTTCCTCAACTCAGTGCAAAAGGGCTTACCCCTAATTTTAAGACTGTGACCCCTGGTTGACTGTGACAACCAAGGGAAAAAGTCTCCCACTATCTATTCTGTCGTGCCCCTTAATAATCTTATAGGCTTCTATAAGATCACCTCTCATGCTTCTATATTCTAGAGAATATAGGCCTAAATTGCTCAACCTATCCTCATAACTCATCCCCCTCATCCCAGGCACCAACCTAGTGAATCTATGTTGTACCCCCTCCAAGGCGAGTACATCCTTTCTTAAATAAGGAGACCAAAACTGCACGCAATACTCCAGGTGTGGTCTCACCAGGGCCCTATACAGTTGCAGCAAGACTTCCCTACTCTTATATTCTAACCTTTTGTAACAAATGCCAACATACCGTGAGCCTTCCTAATTGCTTGCTGTACCTGCAAATTAACTTTTTGTGACTGGTGTACAAGGACACCCAAGTCCGTCTGAATGCTAACACTATCTAGTCTCTCCCCTTCTAAAAAATAATCTGCTCTACTGTGTTTTTGTCACCCAGGTGGATGACTTCACACTTCCCTACATTATACTTCATCTGCCACCACTCACCCAGCCTATTTATATCTCGTTGTTTTTTTTATGTCATCCTCGATGTTTGCTCTCCCTCCTAGTTTAGTGTCATCCACGAATTTGGATATATTAAGTTCAATGTCCTCATCTAGATTGTTGATGTAGATTGTAAATAGTTGAGGCCCAACCACTGATCCTTGTGACACTCCACTAGTCACATCCCGCCAATTTGAGAAGGTCCCGTTTATTCCTACTCATTGTTTTCTTTCCGTTAGCCATTCTTCAATCCATGCTAATATATTCCCCTTAATTCCATGGGCCCTAATCTTGTGGATCAACCTTTTATGCGGCACCTTATCGAATGCCTTTTGGAAATCTAAATACACTACATCCACTGATTTCCCCCCTATCTAATCTATTAGATATGTCCTCAAAAAAATCTAAAAGATTTGTTTAGCATGACTTCTCTTTTGTAAAGCCATGTTGACTCTGTTTAATCATATTGTGATCCTCTAAGTATCCCACTACAACATTCTTAATCAAGGATTCAAGAATTTTCCCTACCACCGATGTCAGACTAACTGGTCTATAGTTCCCCATCTTTTCTCTCCCACCCTTCTTAAATAGTGGTGTGACATTTGCGATCTTCCAATCAATGGGAACCATTCCAGAATCCAAAGAATTTTAGAAGATCAGACACAAGGCCTCCACTATCTCATGAGCTATCTCTTTTAAAACCCAAGGATGTAAACCATCAGGTCCAGGGGATTTGTCACTTTTTAATGCCAACAATTTCCCTAGCACTAATTCTTTGCTAATGTAAATTTCCCTAAGTTGCTTCCTATCATTAGCCCTTTGGTTCATCTCAATTTCTGGTAAACTTCTTGTGTCTTCTAACGTGAAGATAGAAGCAAAGTATTTATTTAGGGACTCTGCCATATCCTTATCCCCTATTATAGTTCCTCCTGTCTCTGCCTGTAATGGACCCACATTTACTTTTGCTAGTCTATTCCTCTTAATGTATTTATAAATACTCTTACAATCTGTCTTGATATTCCTAGCTAGCTTACCCTCATAATCCATTTTCTCACTCTTAATGAGCTTTTTGATTAATATACCATTTTCTTCAACTTTTGTTTAATGTTCTTTCTTTCAACTGTGCCCAGGTCTAAGACTTGTGATCAAGTGGTTCTGTAGCCTTCAGTTCCAGCCTTATATAATAATAAAAATTTGCTCATTTTTTCGCATTTTGTTTGCAATTCATTTTAGCTGAAAGTCTCTTTCTTTATCAGTCGGACTATAGAGACACTCAAATGGCCATTTCGAAGGTTTACAAAGAACGGTCTTCTGCAAAAGCAATCTCAGACAAGGGGGTTCCACAGATCCAGGTCGTGTTGATCGACAGCGAAACCGAGTCAAAATCAGGAACTCTTGCAGCTAAGTTGGCGCAGGATATCATGGAAGACATCAAATCCCAAGGTAAACGTGGTTGCATTTCATTAAATCCTCTAACAATCACAAATGGTTTTTAAGGAGCTCGGTTTGATCCTTCAACTCCAAACATTTCTTTTCTCCTCAGCAACTATTTACTCAAAACCACCGAGTTTGTCTAAGACGTGAATACTGCTCACAATTCTGGTCAGGCTCTTGTAACACTATACTTGCATATGGAAAGGCTTTTGGTCTCATTACAATCCAACCATTCTCTCTCTTTCTCGCACTGCGTTTTCAACCTCTCCTTGTTCTCCATGCTCTGTGAAAGCTTGATATTGTTAACTACAAACAGTCTGTTGTGCTTTATACAGGCAATGTGTTTGGAATCACAGAGGCTGAACACATGATAGCCACTGGCATTGCTGGAGATAGAGGGAGTAGCGGACAAATAGCCGGGATTGTGGTCGGTATCTTCATCGCTGCCCTGTTGTTTGGAGGCTTCTTATACCTCATCCTTTCAGGAAAAATTAGGTAAAAGAAAAAACTTACAGAATTATAAAATAGTCCAGGAGGATGAGAATTTCAGAGTCAGAATATTATACAGGGAGACCAAAACGTCATGATCTAATATTGATATTCCTTGCATTTAATGTAGCGCCTTATCACGTCTTCGCGACATCTCAAAGCGCCTTACAGATGATTCTGTAAAGTGAATTGACTGTTTATTTTGTCGGTGAAACTTGGCAGTCAATTGCGCACAGCAGTGTCCAGAACTATCATCTAAAAAAAAATCACCATTTCTTTAAGACTTATTAGACATTGTAATGGTATCAAGACTTTTTTGATCACCCTGTATTCTAAGAGATGGTGAATCCAGAAAGGGAAGGTTGTGTTTAACCAACTTGGTGGAGTCTCCCATTGTGGATGAATTGTGGAGCTTCTAGTTTTATCCCAACATAAATGGAGATAAAGAGAATCAGGCTAAAGTGGTGCTGAATGAGTATATTAGCAGGAGAAAATGTAGAAATATAGGTTATAAACAGGTTAAAATGGATTAAAACAAACAAAACATAGAATAAAAATACAAAGGACAGAAGAGATCAAGGAAAACCACACCGAAAGGGTAAAGTTTTAAAATATTTTATTTCTTTAAAATGATGGTGTCTGTATTTGTTTTAATAATAGGAATCATACGACCTGGATGTTTAAGTAGTTTTATTACAGTGATAAATATTTGTAGTTAGTATTTATTGCTACGTCAGAGTGTGTGAAAGACAGGGTGAATTGGTTACTAATCATAATCACTATTGACCTTTCAGCTCGTACACACTGAATCATTCTTACCTCTAGGACTATCTTACTGGTAATGATGATTCAGCTCTTTCACAGTTTGTCTCCCAAGCTTGAAGATGTGACTGGGATTGTGGTTTTGTCTTGTGAGTTTTGGTTTCTGCAGGTCTCAGTGAGCTGCAAACCCAGAGCTTCCGTCAGTTGACATTAAACAAGCTGACAGGACAGCTGACAACATAGCCTCGCTTTCACCATGAGGATCTCTATTTAACAGCGCTTTGGGGCGTTCTCCTGACGTGAAAGGCGCTCTATAAATGTAATTTTGTTGTTTTGTTGTTATTGTCTTATTTATTCTTTCTCACAGTGGGTGGTGATTGTCTCAAAACATCCAAATAGCTACCAGGGAGCCTCCAATTCAAATATCATCCTTCACTGGTCTATCAAACAAGCTCACAACTAGACTAAAATGGACAGAACAACAATAGCACATCACTATTAATAATTAATAAGTACATACTACAGAGTTCCGATTGTCTTTTAGTGTATTCTTTAATTCTGCACCACAATTCCTCACCACCGCTTGCACTGTTGCTAAATTACCCTTCACATTACTCTTTCCTCATAAACTAACGCTGAACTTGTGATGAGTGAGTAACTGGTTTGTGTTAGTTCCTGTGGAGTTTTGTTCCTATGGGGACAAAATATTTAGTGTTATATTGTGCTTGTGTTCCGAGGTCTGAGGGATTTGAAAGTGTTGTAAAAGGAATGATTAGCCCTTCTTCTTTGACAGGGTCAGGTTCCCATTAGGCCTCAGAAGTGACGAAGATTGTACCCACCTCGAAACCAGCGGTCCTAACGATGAGGAAATAGATCAAGGATTTGATAATCCCACATTTAACACACTACCAGACATGCCAGCTGTAAGTATTTTAAAGAAAAAATATCTGCTCTATTCTCTTTACCTATTAGGTACCCTTCTGTCTCAGTTGGTAGCAGTCTGACCTCTGGCTTCTGAGTTTAAGCCTAATGTCAGGACTTTGAGCTCACAGTCTATAGTGACACTGCAGTGAGGTTGTGCTCTGCATTGCCTGAGGTGCTGTCCTTCAGATGAGACATTAAACCGAGCTCCTGTCTGACAGTTCAGGTGGACGTTCATGATCGCACGGTAGTCCTCGAAAAGAGGAGGGAGTTTTTTTTTCCCCCTGAATCCTGACCAACAATATTCCAGATAAATTGGTCATTCAATTCATGTCTGTGTGTGGGGTCGTTGGTGGGCATTGCTGTTTGCAAATTCACGTTCGCTTCAAATACTCAGTCTACACACTTACACACAGCAATTATCTGTCAAGTGTTTTGACATTATTGGTACAATGTTAAAATCCAGGATTATTATTAGTAAATAATTGTATCCTGTCGAACACGGTAACTGCCGGGATTTGAATCTGTAACCATTTGATGAGAAACCATAATTTTCCGACTACAATTTGGATCCAGCAACCTTCGGATTGTTCCTGGATACGATACAATACAAAATTACATTTGTATAAGTGCCTTTCACGTCAGGAGGACGCGCCAAGACACTGGACAGTCAAGAATTTGGATCCTTTAACCTTCCCTTTGGGTAGACGCTCTTGTGACTATCGTTCCCAGATCTTTGGTAACCTCCACGCCCCACTTAAAAAAAAACATTAACGAAGCCAAATTGCCTAGATTAAACAAGGTGGATGTAGAAAAGGCGTTTTGTTTGATTGTTTGATACATCTTCCATATATTTTATACATTTTATTCCGTTTTATTATAAACACATTGCTGCTATGAATAGGAAAGCTCACAAATATTTAACCGTTCCTTGTGCATTACTCACCATCAGAGACTTACCGGAAGCAATCAATTAACAGGGCATATGAAGTGAGTGAGTGAATGTACACATTTTATGGGACAATCTAATCTGATTAGTTAGGAATCAAATTCCATGAACAATATAACAGGGAAGAATGAATGTACATACACCAGCCTTTCTCACCTCTCTCATTTTTTTTTCAGGAATGTAATGCAATATGTTCGGAAGAAATTAGAGTGAGGAAAATTGCGATATCTCCATCACAAATGGATTATCCCAATCCACTCTTTGAAACTGCCTGCAGTGAGAAAGATTGTTAAGCTTCGTGTTCCATAAATATTTGCAATGATAACTGTTTGCAAATGTTTTTAATTTGGGGACGACCAGTCTGTGTGCTTGCAGACAAGATGTGAGGAAGATATAAATGCTAATTACAATTTCACAGACACGGAATTTTGCTCCCGTTTCATTCAAGCCTTTCTCATTGGAAATTTCATGATGAGGTCCTAAATTATGAAGTGAGATGTATAAAGATGTGGGGACATTCATTTCTGATCTGCATGAATGCACAGTATTTTTAACAGTTTGATTTGCTCTGGATTTCAGAGAATCTAGTTTCTTTCGATCTTTGCTCGGAGATGCTGTGGATTTAATAGAATAAACAATATTAATATTAATAGTTATAAGATTCAAAATCCTAAACAGTGATTAAGGACCAGTGAATTTTCTTGCTTTATGAGCTCACAAGATGCATTCTCTTTTTTAACTGATTTGAAATCTCCCTCTTTGAATTGTCAAATTTTGTTTCTGGGCTGAATGAAGAGAGAAAAAAAAGAATTGGAGAGACAAAATAAAGGCAGAATGAAGACGGCAATAAAAGGAATTGTAGAGCAAAAGAAAAATGAGGGGGTGGGGGGGGGGAGAAGTTGAGTAAGATGCTATTTTCCTAGAATCAGAATGAACATCATTGTCAAATGGATAGATTAATGCTTCATTTATCCTGTATCCTGAAAGGTGAGCTGCCTCAGTTTGAACCTGGATTATCAGGGCCGAGAGCCATCTCCCAGGGTTTCTCCTTGGTGTTGACCAGACTAAATTACCAGTTTAGTGCATGCGCATTGTCCACAGGTAATTCAGACCAGATATTTATTTCTGCCGTAGATCTCTTGTGTCGAAACCCAGGAAAACTTCGACACCAAGAGCCAGGACCTGCGAACAGGGGCAAACAACTTTGTCTCATGTTCGCTTGACCATTCTATGCAATTCTGCATGTAATTTTATTGCTGACAGTATCCAAGCTTTTAAGAAGAATGAGATGGATTCACAGGCATTAGTTACAGACAGATTTCAGCAGTTAATATTGACCAAAGAAAAGCGATGCAGATGGAAGTGAGCAGGCAGTATATACGGCTTCTTTCAAATGTCGATACTTCTTATGTGTACCTTAAATATACATTTGTTATCATTTAAAAGAAAAGGCTTTGGACAAATTGTAAAAATAAAATCCCGTCGTCTTAACTTTGAAGTTTCTTTAAAGTTTCCGAACACGTTTCTCTCCAGACACTGACAGCACTATCTGACTTTGGGACGTGCATTTGGAAGAATAAGGGAGAATGCAATTGTGATTTCACATTCGCTGCTTCAACTTGAAATGTATTATGTTAATAAAGTCCCAAGCAAGCAATGGCTGCCCTCAGGACTGGTGACATATGATCCATTTGCGTGTGAAATGAGATCTTACCGCTTTTAAGTGTTTTTCAATTTCAAATAGTTTGCTCTGAGACGAGATTCCCTTCTCCAATGTGCTGCGCAAACGCAGCTTCAAACCACGAGAGGGAGCAAAACACCACCGATCACCAGGATTGGACATTTCGGGGCAATGACGACTAAAAATAATTGCCTTGTCAAATGTTTGATCTGCTGCTGCCTTTCACCACTTGATGGTGCTGTGTCTTATATGGAGGAAGCTGTTGAACAGGTTCTTGATCAATCAAGAAGCACATCTGTGGTAAACGGTGAGGTGTCGGTTTGAATCATAATCAGAGGGTTGTGTCACCACGGTTTTATGGGAGGAAAGGCATCCGTGGCTAATCTCTGGGAGTTTAATGAAGAAATGATGGAACTGGTGAGTAATGGGATATCATTTAATTGACCGTTGACAAGTTGCTACTTGAGAAGTTGCTTCACAACTTTTGCTTTGCGCACTTTTAAGCGCTCTTGAGATGCTGAAGGGCACAATATAAAATGCAAGTTGTTGTTGAAGACATAATGGGGCGGGCGGGAGAACTCACAGTTCTTTGGGAGAAATTCTCTCCAGTTAAATGAAGGAAGAATTCTTCAGTTATATCCATCAGATAGCCACCTGAGCAAGTAATCAATTATAGCGGTGTGACTATTTTAAGGATTCAGTTTTTGACTCTCACCTTTCTGTTGGTTGCTATAGGCGTCTCTCTCCAGATTGAGATATTTTTGATTGAATATAATCTTTCAGTTTAACTGGCTTCCCTGTGTCCATTTGCTAACCGAGACACAACAACAACAAAATTACATGCGTAAAGTGCCTTTCACATCGAGAGGACGTTCCAAGACTCTGGAGACAGTAAGCGGTCTGAGAATTTTGTTGCTTTCATCTTAGGTTTTAATCCCATTTGGTTATAATTTACAAGGAAAGATAATAAATGGAAATTTCTAATCATTATGTTTTAGATATGTTTCTATGGAACAATTCATCTACAAGTTGTTTTATTGCTACTGCTTTACAGAATCATATTTTTCTACCTTTGGCCTTTCTATCACTTTCCCTGCCTTTGTACTACCCTCAGCCAGGCGCATGGCATAATAGAGATGCAGGACAACAGCTGGTTGATCTACTTATTCAGCTCAATCTCTGGGTAAAAGCAGGAAACCTCCACTCACTTGTGACATGACTGAGATTTGCCACAGAATCCGTAGGTGCAAATCTGCATCCTACCACTGGGCAGCAGTGTGTGAGACGTCTCAATGACGTGATAAGGTGCTCTATCAAATGTAAAGATTATTATCAGTAGCAGTGCTGTCCATTAACATTTTATACACGAAGTCACTAAATACTTCACTATACATACCTTATACAGTAGGTGGCAGGAAAAGCTTCAAGACAAACACAGCATTTTCAATAAATTGGTTGTGTCATACATATTCACTGCGGTTGTTTTTTATGATGGAAGGACCAGCCACAGGCACTGAATGTATTTTAAACACTATTGATTTTCTTTTAGAACTCTACTGCTTAAAACCAATGAGGCTGTTCAATGCTGAGCACTGCCAAAATAGAAATGGATTTAAATTTTAAAGCAATAACAATATAAATAAACTTTATTCAGTGTCCAGAGGGTGAAGTTCTTTCTCGTAGCAGTTTCTGATCAGATACAGTGTGAAGGCTGTTCAGCTGTAGTGCTACGAGTCTGTAGCACTGCTTCCTGACTGCAGTTTTTATGCGTTCACTTTTCTGAATCTTGTTCCAGGAACAGATAAAATCTCTCACAGGGTAAAACAGTCAACAACTGAATCAGAGGAAAGCATTGAGTGAGATGAGAGAATGTTCCTGCGGTGGAGAACTTGTGACGGTTAAAAAAAAATGTTTAATGCCTTCCTATTCATGTACTGTAACAAGAGTAGAACCTCATAAACAGCCCATGAAGTATGCGCATCCCTCTCCACACACACACTTCCCTCAAACCATGAAAAAACATCATAGAATACCACACTGCCCAAGAAAAGTTTAACAATTAAAAAAAGGTCTTAATTTCACAAATATTTGGATTGGCGTTGTTGCACGTATCAACTGATACGCAGGAAACCTTAAATCCACATTCAGTCAGCAGGAACATTTAATGAGGGCAACATCAAAGTGCTGACTACAGCAAATGGCACTGGGAACAAAGCTATGCATTAGTGACATTTGAACCATATGCATGCAGGCAAAAGCACATACACCAAATGTCAATACTTCAAAAGAACAATGTTGTACTCCAGTTAAATAGGTATTGCATTTACTGTAACATTCTATAGAACTGTCACTTTATGCTGGAAACACAAGAAAAACCCACAACACAAAGGTACAACAGCCCAATGGACTTTGCTAACTTTAGATTTTAATCATAAAACTAACAGAAAGGGCGTAGCCTGTAAACTAATGAATGGAGACAATTATTCCTGCAGGAGTACATGCCTGTGCTATCTGAGCTTTCTAGATTAATGCCAGTAAAAAGTTTATTTCCACCCACACATCTGCACGTTTCATGTCTGGACACAGTGTGGTGTTACTTTTTTTGGTAAAATTATATGAATCGCTGTTCCAAAAGCACACTGCTAGTTAACTTGCTTTGTAAAATTATAGGAATTACTGTTCCAGAATATCCAAAGCAAATGCAAGTTACATTGCATTTTGCAAGTCAGGGCAGTGGTGCTTAGTTTTGTAAAATAAAAATCTGCTGTGGTACTCCCTGGATACAACGCTTGGATTATAAAAAAAGGAATGAGGTAGCTAAGGAGCTTCATCTTGAGAACCTGGAAAATAATGAATTAATAGGAGACAGAGTCACGAGCTTTGATTTAAATACAATGAGGGAGTAGGCTGAAGGAACAGAGTGCGGCACGAATTATCCGAGGCTCGAGAGGGACGTGCAGGGAAGCAATGATTATAGTATTATTGATAAACCAGAGACAAATGACTGGACGCAAGAGCTGCCCCAGCTCTGGAGCCAACACATGTTGCCACAGATCCTCTCCACAATAGTGTTGACTACTGAGCAGTGATGAACTGCCAATTCCTTGTTTAAAATTTTATATAAGATTTCCAATGTCAAGTCATCGAATTCAAAGTCACTTCAGATTCCAAAGAGATCTTCGAGACAGCAGATTCCTTGATTTCAACTGGCGCCCCATTTGAAGCAGACTAAATCAAAATGTTTGCAACAGACACAGCTCAAGACTCAGAAGTGTATTCAGTGAGGTTAGTACGATTGACCTCACTGAGGTGAAAGCAAGACTTTGCTTAAATTGAGTCAAGACAGCGGCTTGCGAATGCCAAGAGTTTAGTAAATCACGTAAAAGGCCACCCATCTACGATAAAACATTTAAATTGATGGGAGTAGAAAGGAAAGAAATATCTTCCAGGAATTTCCTTCTGTGAGCTAATTCTGTTTGTCTTGTCAGCAAGCTTCAAGCTCAACTAGTACTTCAGCAAAGAAACCTCCAGAGAGAGGAATTTAGCCTATGCTAATATTCTCTGATGACCCTTCAGCCAGACAAACTCAAAGATCCATATGTATGAAGCATCATTTGGGACAACCAAAGCCACAGGTCAAATATTTCTTATTAGAAAGCAGTATAAAAATAGAAGGGTTCAGTGACAACTATATTGTGTGTGTTTTATGATGAAATGAGCTCCGATACCTGAATTAATATCTCCATCCAGCCTTGGCATGTATAATAGATGAATGGTATGGATACAAGACCTCTACAGATCTAAACTGACATCCCCACCTCCTCTCTGTGCCCCAAGTGGAGTAAGAAACATTTCAACATGTAAACAAAGACTATTTTACACATTGGTACCTCTCTCTTATGCTTTATTGACAAGTCCATTTTCAATATTTTGTCAAAGCAGTTTCTTAATTACAAAGAGTGGTTAGCTGAATTTTAAGACTACCCACTTTCACAAATTAACATAAAAAAATCAAACTGTTTCACCAGTAGTGTTAGGCTCCACAGTGAGCCCTTTCGTATTTAAGTAAATGATAAAGAAAATCTGATTAGTTGCTTAATGTGACACGTCACAATTACCATCCAATATGCAGGGGAGCTGGGTGACTAAAACATGCAAATTCTTTACAGTGATCTATAGGGAACTTATACTGCATCTGTATAAACTGTAAATTGTCATAAATACATCACAGAAGGCACACAGGTGCGATGACAAATTTGATATACTGGCTGTGGTGTACAAGCCTTTAATGCAATACGGACACAATCCTATGAGTAATAATGTTATCATACACTGAACTTGAGTTTTATATATATATACAAACACACACACACACAACCACACATTAACTGTAACCACCAGGGAACATATCATCATCTTGGGGCATAGAACGTATAAGACTGCTGTGGAATTTTTAAAATAACCAGTACAACATTTTTGAAGGAATGGATATTCATGCAAGGACTTACAAAATGAACAGCAAATTAAAGCAGCTTTCCTGTATCCCAGAGTCTTCTGCCTTATACCTATAATACCTCATCAGCAATTAGAACAATTACATGTTTGTGTGTGTTTTACAATAGCTGTATGTCTGAAGCTGCTGCAGGTCTAAGTAAAGATTTTCCCCAACATTAATTTCTGCAGTGGGTCCATACACAAGACAGCACAACAAAAGCAAACTTACTTGAGAGATTAAAAACAATAATACAAAATGCAACTAAAATTCTTATTCACAGTATTATTTACTGGTGTCATGTATACCCTGAAGATAACATTTTTTTCTTTTTTTTTAAACTAATGGAATAGTACAAGGACAATTTTATTTCACCGTTTACCAACTATATTAGAAATCTGGCAGGAAAGTTTGGTGCAAAAGACATTGGCCCTCATTATCCCAAATTCTCAGTAATTCACTTGGCTGGTGCAGGTTAACCGTCAACAGTGCACAAAACCTAACGCGCAGGGAATATGATACTTAAGTCAGTCACTTTGTTTCCTGGGCCGACCATGGAAATACACTGGGAATTATTCATAAATGATCATGGATATATAATTTAATGTGCAATCTGCAAGAATTAACAGAAGAAATTATTCTTCATTCTTGGCACTTTCTTGTAGTAAGACTTAGAATTCAGCAGAAATCTATTTTTCACGTGGGGGGAGGGGGTGTAAGAAAATCTATAACAGTGAAGAATCCTATTGGTATGTGGCAGACGCACTATAAGTGTTTCTAGAGGCAATGGTCATGCATCGAAGGTGGAGTGGTCCGAACCATCCAGTGTCATTTGGTTCCTGTGGGGGGAGTTTGGACTGGGCGGGCTACTTGGATTTGAGCTGTTTGAAGGTGTTGAATGCCTCGTTGAATCTGAGTCCTGCTGATAAAGAAAATAGAATACATGTTAATTTGATCACATTTGTGGCTACCTTGAATAAGAAAATAAGATTGAAGTTCTGGATGCCATTGCATTTCAATGAACCCAAACGACAATTGTAGGTAATTACCTCTTTTTCAAATTCTTGATCAGGATCTGATATTTTACGTGATGAAATAGCTTCTCCACCTAAGAGGATGAACAGTGAAATAAGGTGTTGATACTTTCTGGCACATGTTTCACTTTTACTATTGCAACATATGGGGTAGGGACATAAGAATATACCATTGGTATCAGTTTTAAACTCATTCCTGATCCAAATATAAAGAATTTCGAATCACAGTTGCAGTTTAGTCTTTTTTACTCTTGTCCCTACTTCTATGATTCTACTTTTGAAGGATATGGGGAGAGAGCAGGGGTGCAGGACTGATTTGAAAGCGCTTCCAAACAGCCGGCACAGGCACGATGGGCCGAATAGCCTCCTTCTATGATGTAATATTCTATAATAAGCAGAAAGAGGCACTTTCAATGTTTTAAACTGCAATAGTGCAATCGTGATGTTCAGACGACAAACCAAGTTGAGCTCCTATCAAGACAATTTAAACCGATTGAGTTTTCTGTTCATAATCGTTACTTACTGGATTGACGTTTCATATTAAATCAGAACTTTAGCTACTAACTGGTTTAGTTAACAGGAATATTCAGACGTATCTTAAATAATTCTCCCTATTACCCTCCAGTAATAGGGAGAATTAAGAGCCCATTTAAAAAAAAACGACAAATAAGATTTTTCATGGGTTTGACAGCTTGTTTGATATACCCTAATATCAAAAATCAAAAAAAATGTGCTCTAGGACAACTAGCACATTTTTCACCTGTCGTGGAAGAATTTAAAGATATGGCTGCAGTAGATACCCTATTTCTCAGATGATCAAACAATTGAAAGGCATCTCACTAACAATGACACTCCACAATTGCAATTTTAACAGTCCAATCTTTCCTTCCACTTCCAAGACTCTGTAGGCAGGGGGCTAGATGACAGATCTAATTGTGTGATTCATTGAGTAAAATGGGAGGCTAGCGATATTTTCGCAAACACTTTCTTTGTACTCGGGGAAGATGCTGTTTGCTTGTTTCTACATGAACTGGGAGAGACCCTAAGACAAGATAATAAAAATAATTCGCATTTGATATAGTGCCTTACCACATTGTTAATTACATTACCTGATGGCGTACGTGAAATATATTGCTTGCTTCGCTGCTGCCTTGAAATGCTGGAATGGGAAGCACGTTTCTCCCTTGATTGCTCATCTTGTGATACTGGTGACACACTCTGCAGTAATAAGTGAAAATTAAATACATTTCCCCTCCCTATTTAAAGAAATGCTCAACACCTTTACAAACAATGAGCTCAAGATGATTTTGTTTTTCAAGGACTTAACCAGCTGCACTTTGGGATAGGTATTCCTACCCTGACTGAGTCAGAGGAACAGGGGCAGGAAGAGGAAGAGAGCAGAGGGAGGCCTTGCAGTGAGGAATGATTAGTCTGGAGATAGATTTCAGCAGAGAGTGTGTTCATGTGATAGACGTGCTCAAAGTTGGTTGGAGGAGATATCTGGGCATGCTGTTGAGAGGATGAGGGGGAAGGAAAATCGTTCTGCTAAGTCAACAAAAGGAAACAGACTTGTTAATTATCTTAGGAATAACATCAATAAAACTATTGTGTTATTCTACGATTCCATTATTTACAACAGGTTCAGATATTAAGTCAAAGTTTCACAGAAATGAGTGCAACATAAAGAATTAACTTAATGAATTGATTTTCATTTGGCCTTTCATGCAGTTTTTGCAAAATCAATATTTTTGGGGGATACCTGATAGTCGAACACTCACTGCCTAAACACGCAAGACAAGAAGCATTGTCATATTTTTTGCTCGCAGACATTTTTTGAACATTAGGTAAATAAAACTTTCAGTGAGATGTAAAAACATCAATTCTACAATTAGAGATAATTTTATTTCAAAACAAGCACAACGTACCGTTACATTTCCACAATAAAAAGAATTAGAAAGTGCGAATATGCTGAGCGCAAATGCAGTGTAGGATAAGCAGTTTAGGAATTGTGCAGTATTGCTACATACAGGTGAAGACCTTTCTGAATGTTTTACCTTAAGTTATTCAATTTGTTTTTGGTACTCCCCAATTTGATTTGCACGGTGAATAAAAATAATGCATTAACCAATTTACTTAAGTAGCTCTAGTAGTTTCCAAATAGGATTTGGGTGAATTGTCAATGCTCTGTACTACTTCCTACACCAACTTGGTAATCTGACTAAATGGAAGCGAGCATTTCAGCTGGGCTAAGCTATTACAGTGGTTTATTATCTGATCATAGATTAATCTTTAAAATGTCCTCCCTGCCCCGATAATTACCAGTGGGAGATCCATGAGCACTTGCATTCCATCGCCTGGTCCCATGTGAGCCACATGGTTGAAGTTTGTCGGATTTGATATCAACTTTGACCGCATCTCTGGATCTCTCAACATCTCTCTGTTATGAAAAGCATAACAACACATTAAATAAATCAGAAGTTTTAAAAAACTGTCAAACTTATGTTTCCAGATTGAACATTAAAAAAAGAAGGCTGTCCCCACCTCCTTTGTAGTAATCTTTCTTCTTCTGATACTTTAAAGGCAAACCTCTTCTTGCTCCGGGTTCTGAGCATCTGCTTCTTGCTGTTATCGGAAGTGTCTGGCACACTCAAATCATCGCCTTCTGTAAAAATTAGATGAAAGCAAATTTCTAAGACCAATTGTATAAGATGATATGGAATTCGAAGCCTCCAATTATCCGTTTAGTCAAAAACAGAGCCCAGATTTCAAAGGGTGATAAAAAAGTAAATTAATCTACCAACAAAATAGCATAGATTTATGCCATATATCCAAGAAATAATAACCTCCTACATTAATAGATACTCAATATGAGAGGCATTTATTTTCTTTATCAAAACTATAAACCACAGTTGTTCATTATAAAATAACTGTGGTGCATCCAATTCAAGAAACGAAAGGAATGTTCCACAATATAAATGTTCTGCACTTTTACTCACAGTAACATTCCTGAACACAGACCCACAGAAACAAAACAAAACTCATGTTCAGTTTCAGTTCATTAATACTGGCTCAGGACTGAGAAAAGCGAGAGAGAAAGAGAGAGAGAAAAAAAATCACATGCACATGTGAAAAGGGTGGGGTGGAACAGTCCTTGAGGTTAAATGGCATTAAAACAGCCAAAAGCCACATAAACCAGACTTTAGACAAAGTATCAAGTGTTCCACTTCGAAAAATACTGCTTTCAAAAAGAAAGGAACGATTTTATTCTCCTTTGCTCATATTATTTCTTCATGCATCACATTAAGTTACATATGAATTAGTGAAACAAACCTGAGTAGTTTTTCTTGAAGTATATTAACCGTGCAGGTTCGGAGTTGAGTTGGTTTAGTGTACCATCAGCATTTAATGGCCGGATCTATATATAAAAAAAAGCCAATATGAATACTGTGTCACATAATGTACTGGATGTCTAAAATAATTTGCATCCAGAGTAAACTTTGCAAGCACATGCAGTACCTTCCGAAGGGGAATTGTCTGGACCCAGTCCATAGTGTTTGCATCAAAGACGTCCACCCCATATTCACTGTAAACTGCTAGATATGAACAGCTGTAAACTGGTGTAGGTAAGAGAAGTGAAAAATCAATTATATATAAAACTAAATATAGAAAAAGCACATTATCACATTAAACTGCCAGGCTGTTCAAACTAAATCTGTAGCAGGAATCTCAGAGAAGCGTTGTTAAGGGAGCGTTTGCCGTGACACTGGAAATAATAATTTTTTTATATAAAAAAGAGTCTTGGGAATAAGTTAACTGTCTGCTTTAGGAGAACTGGCTTGATAGACTCAATCCCCTCTTCCTGTTCCTATGATATCTGGCTCAACAGATGAGGGGGAAGCAGGAAATATAGGGATTCTTGCCTTCAAATTTCTATTGCCGAATAAAGTAGTGCAATCATATGAGCTGGATGCCACGGCTATATTACCTGCACATAGCACTTGAAACAAAGAGCTAAGTTCAGGTAACTTGTACATTAAATAAAAGCTGAAAACAGCTCCTGCTGATCTAAAGCTGCCAGCATAATTCAGCTAGTTAGAAAAGAGAATCTCCATATATATTGTCTGAAGGTCAATGAATTTTCGACTGCAAATCTAATCGTTCTTCTATACTCACTTATAACCATCTAAAATTATATAAAAAAAACAAATGTTTTGAATTTGGTGGAATCCTCTTAAATGCTACCATTAACCACTGCACTTAGATGTTTAAAAAGATACATGAAAGAAACATTAGATGTAATGCATTTAACTTCCCACAGCCATTATACGAAGGAGAGGCTGTTTATTAACAACTTGCATTTATATAGTGCCCTTCACGCGGGGCAGTGTCTCAAAGCGCTTAAACAAAATATAGTCAATTAATTTGCAGTAAGTTCTGTGAAGCGCTTTGAGACATCTAAGATGTGATAAGGCCCTATATCAAATGCAAGCATTTATTATACTTTACTATTAAACATAAAGGAGAAACACAAAAACATACAATGCAAAAGTAAATAATACATATATACATACTGCAGGCTAAAGGAACCGCAGGCCACATGAGTTCTTGGGTCCGTGACCTTCTCCCTAGTGAGTCCACATATACACCCACATGGCTGAAGCAGAGCAAGAATTCCTTGTTACTAAGTTCCACTGCACAAAGAGCATCAAAAGGCTGCTGCGAGAGAAATGCAAGCGACGGGTCAATTGGATTTACCAGGTTAACGGAGGGCCCATCTCCCTGGACATTAAGCAGCGAGAATCCAGAAGGGTAGCCAACACAAAGCTTTTCCTCAAATAGCATCATCCATTGCACATTGCCCAAGGCCTGAACCTCATTGAATTTCTTGTAGTACGGTTTAGTTCGGCTAATTTCATAGCACAGGACTTGCCGCTTCACTGCCACAAAAAGACAGGATGCAATACCGTGCCGCAGATACCCAGTAGTCATAGTATGACAGCCTTTTGTTTCAGCAAGTTTAATATCAAAGCTGGTCTCAGATCCATCAAAAGCAGCCCAGGGATAAAAATGAACATGTCGATTGCGCCCACAGATAAGGACAATGAGTTTTTCTTTGGGTATAAGCTCAATCTGGTAGACTTTCTTGCAGTCAGCTGCTCGAACGATCACTGCAACCAGAGAATATTTGTTACTATATGAAAACATAATATTATTTTCCGCATTAAAAAACAATTACTATTGTTAAACCATTTTATTTGCTTACACATTTGCTCAGGTTTTGAATCACAACGGCATTTTAAAACTGCGCTGATAAAATATATCATACAAATGCTTGCTTTTACAACCAAAAGAAAACTTCTAATTGAGTATTATTTCCATCTATAAACACACTTTTCAAAAATCATACGTTCTCATATTTATTTTTTCACTGCAACAAGTAAATCAACAAAGGCGCCTTATAAACTCAAATTAAATTTGGTAATTTTTTAATGGCTTACTATCTCGTGTTAACTCTATCGCATACAGTCCTTCCTCCGTGCCAAGTGCTATACGTTCACGATCTACAAGAAAAAACAAGTTTGAATTTGCAAAATTAAATTGTACAATTTAAAAATATTAGAAAGCATATTGTCTCTTACCTATTCCCATAACTCTTCTTCCCCACCTTCTTTCACATTCCAAAATCTACAAGACATCCCCCCCTCCCCATCTCACGCGCGCGCACACAAACTCGCTGCCTCATTTCGCCCACAAAATAGTCACTTCACTTACAGTATATCCTGTAAAGCACTTTGAGACATTGGTAATGCAATAAGGCACTATATTAAATGCAAGAATTATTATTATTGTTATGTAAGATCACACGAGTTATCTATATCTTACCTATAACAGCAGCCGATAAACTTGTTTTAATAAAAGGTAGTGTACTGTCATATGCTTCTTGTGGAATATATACAACTTTGTTCCTAAGTTTATTTTTTTGCAAGATATTCTGCAATCCTTCTAGGATTCCAACCCATTTCCTCTTCTCATTTTCACTTTCAGTCAGGATTAGTAGTGAACAGGTTTTTGATGGCGAGGAGAGTAGTGAGGTTGTCACCTGTAGAATAATTATCGCAGTTAAAAAAAGTAAAGCTCGGGCTCAATAAATTACACGTATGTTATTTCACAAAGACAGCAAATAGTGTTTTGGGAAATAAAAGTTGGGATAATTTGGAGTTCTTCCTTAAGAATGCAAAACACATTTCTGGCCATTGGTTTGAGTAGTTTATATTACACTACCCCATAACACACTGAGCCAATAAATCTTGATTTTCATTTCACATTAAGGTGAAGAATGTCAGCATTGTAGAATGGAATGCAATGTCATCAATGAGTATCGCCAGTCTGGTTGCGAATGGCCATAGGCAAAATTCCTTCTAACTGCCCCAAATATGTACTCGAACCAATGATTCAGAACAATACCTTGATACCCAACCTGCAAACACTGCAATATTGCTCATTTGCCACATCCAGTGAACTGCAAACGCTCTGACAAATTCAATGACAATCTGTACATGTTGATACTCAACAAACTCACTTCATGTAAACCTGTGACTGCAAATAATGGCAGCTTTCATCCCACCAAACTTGATCAAGCCACCTTCCCCTATTCTTCATTCAAACTGCTAGGATGCTACACAGATTCAGGGCTTACACACTTTGCAATATAAACTATTAAACTGCAGTAGCTGAACACTTCAACACAATTTTTTCCCCGTTGATGTCCTGCTTCCAAATATTCAGTGATAACTCCATGTAAACATCCTCACATACAAATGGAACACCTGGCTATTTCTATTTGCCCAAATCCACCTATTCATCTGAGAGAGGATAACTCTGCTCAACATATTTAATTACTTTAAAATCTTACCTAAAATATACATGAACCATTGTATATAGTTGTAAAGTATAAGTTAGGGTAGCTTTTCTTAATTAACTTTAATCAATGTGCTGACAAATTGCTTGCTAACTGTTTCATTCTCGCAAACCAATATATTAAAAAATAGGTATTTTTGAGACTAATCCTTACCCTGAATATACAAGGGATGTCCTTCCTAGTGGCATGAATGACATCCGATGCAAGAACAGAACTCACAGAAAAGGCTTCATCTCTATAAATAAAGTTTAATAGTGTTAAACACAGTCCTCTACTTTCAAAGAAAGATATATAAAAAACTATCTTGTTAGCAATAACTATAGGTAACGCTTAAGGAACAGCACACAAATCTTACAGACTTGTCCTCCCACTCATATCTCTTCCCAATTGCAGTTAACTATTGATCAGTTTGGTATGGATACTCTTAAGCGTGGTGATATGTTTCTACAATTTTTTTTGACAAGAAATGAAGGATAAAGGTACAGGAGGAATGGACCTAGTTTGTGGAAAGATAGTTTTAATACACTGTTTCTATGGCTCTAGCCAGGTTTTATTTTTTTTTAATTATCTGTCTTCAAGCATCGTTAAAAAAAAACTCTTTGTTGCTGAAAGTTGACTTGCGTAACGACAAATATCAATGTTTGCTCATTTTTATTGAATCCAGGCAGGCCTACTCAAATCAGGTTATAGCTGTGAGCTCAGCTAACACACAATAGCATCTCTTCTTCATGAACGAGTGTGAAGTTTGTCAAATTATTTACGTTACTGAGGAACACTAAAGACTACTAAACTAGAAGTACAATTTAAATTGCAGTGACACGATCCCACTTAGAGAAAGGAATTCAGAAATAAATCTGCTACTGAACTATACATATTGGGACGTCCTCCTGACGTGAAAGGCGCTTTATAAATGGAATCTTGTTGTTGTTGTATACAAATCTATTGAAGGTTGCGAGAGATCATTTCAATTTTCAGAGTGTGATGTAAATTTTGAAAAATTAGTTATATTCAGAATTTGGGTAAATTTACTGGAAACATTTTAGGCTACTGAATTGAGTCAGTTAAAAATAAACTGTGGATGTTCATCTCCAAGAAAATCAATTTTGGGGGGAAAGAACGGACTCAATGAGATAATTCACCCAATGAATGTGACAAGTTAAGATCTCATACAATGATAGGGAAAATGCAATGTAGCATAGATTGCTTTAGCTTTACTTGAGCAATCACATTTTTGAAATATCTGTCTTGCTGCCAATGGAAAACCTATATTAAGTCAATTCCAGATTATGGAACTGACAGGAAATTGGCCACTGCAATACAAATTATGCCTGTTCCTACTCTATAGGAAAATTAAAAAGTCATAATATTAATGATTTTTCATTTCATTGCCCATAGTTTCTATTTTGTAAAGACTTACCTCAGGTCCAGGACCTGACTGGCAACAACTCCAGGCTGCATAGATTTGCCTTCAGCCACGTCATACAGAAACAGTTTACAGTCACAGACCACTGCGTATGCACGCTGCCAACCTTTCTTCACCCCAGTGGGCTTGGGAACCTCAAATGTAAGAGAGAAAAGAGAAAATATTAGTGCGTGGACAATGCATGGTAATGGAATTTAAACAGTAACAGTTCGCACATCTCGTCAAATTACTTTTACAGTTTTATATTGTGAAGAACCTACTTCATTGGCATTTTTTCATCTGAGTGCTGTTTAGAACTCTAATATTCTGGTCCTAAGTGCCATCATTTTAAAATTTTAATAGAGGTACTTTATAAAAGAAACATACAACACAGATTTGCATTCTCCATATTAAAACCAAAATTACAGCCCCCTTTCTCTACTGCCAAAATGACCTATAACACAAGAGACAAGAGCTTGGCTTTTACCAGTTATTTTTCTGCCAATTACAGCAGAAGTATCTGCAGTTACAGTTTATGATTACAGTTTATGATGCAATTAAAGTGAAATTGGATGTTAGAATCAGTTGGATAGGTCTCCCGTAACACAAGGATTCTTTATATCTGGACTCATTTCATAAACAAACTCTCTTATTAAACCTTTTCCATCCTCTAAGAAATACTTCCTGGTGTCTGCCTTCAAAAAGTCCTTCACAACTCTGAAATCTAAGCCATCCTGGCCTGGTACCCGATCATATTTGAAACTTTTGTCCTGATTTACATTATCTAGACCATTTAGTATCTTATATAACAAGGTTCAAAATATTTCAAAATATCAAAGTACTATATTTATCATACGTTATAACAGTCCAGCACAACCTTCTTCAACCTGTGAACCACTGAGCGCAAGCAGTGCTGTAAATTTTTTTTCTAACAGTGAACAGTTTGGAAAGTTCATTAATGGAAAGTTCACTAACACTAATTCTATTCATCAGCACAGTCATTGCTTACCCACAGCTTTACAACCGAGAGGCATATCATGCTGTGCAAACCTTTCCAATGCACATACTGTGAATACCGTTTGAACTGATTTTTGTCATGAATAATATAAGAACATTACATAAGAAATACTAGATGAATCTAGTTTGCCTACCTTCCTGGCGGTCGCATACACAAATGTCCCAAACTATGTACTGTATTGCATGATATTATTTCCTAAAAAAAACTATCTAGTCTGTGTTTGAAAGAATCAACACTTTCTGCTTCAACTGTCTCCTTAGGGAGCCTGTTCCACAGGTGGCATCCAAAGTTATACTGCAGCAGATTTCCTTACCTTTACATAGCCTTTGTAAGCTGTTCCTATCCCTCTCTGAACATCTATCCCAAGTGGCCTCTTTGTTTGCTCAGGGATAGGGCATACTTGAGGGGCATTGTCCTTGCATAAAACATGGCAAATAAAGGAGCACACTGTGGAAGAAACAGAAGAATTTTATCATATGATGGAGGGATGGAGGCATGCAGGAGGATACATTTAATTGTAACCAAACATTGCAATATTAAAATGGATTTTATTGACAAAATAAAAAAGTAGGCCTTCAGATGAATTTGCATATTTCGCTTTGCTTAATGCTATATATGGAAACATTTAAGTACATGCAAAAAATACGATCTTTTATAAAGAAAATGCTCAGTGTGTGCAGGTGATTTACACACCATAATACTGAACATTAAATCTGGTGTACCATAAGGTCTAGAATAACAACATGACACTCACCATCACAGGCATATCCCTGTCGTACTAGGCCAACCATTAGAGACGTGCAATGGCTGCACTGTGTAGGGCTGGAGAAAGTTCTGATACTAACTTGATGGGCTTTAGGCTTAATAAGAGAAAAGGTTAAAAAAAATCTTATTCAATAGACAAAAAAAAGTATATTTTGTTTATAAAGTGTTTAGAATATAGAATTCATTACATTAATTTTAAGATGATATAATGCATACAGTCTGGGCACGATCAGGCAGCTTGGTACCCCCCCCAATGTTATTCATTTATTTCCTCTTGTATAATCCACACTTTTTTAATAGATAGTGTCAGGAAAAAGCAAAACTGGTTTTAAGACCAAATTAATTGAACAAATTCATATTATGTTTGGGTTTCTAGGGCACATTTATGGCTGATTCTATGCAACTAACAGACTATTATTAAAAAAAATACCTTAGGCAAAGGAGTCGGCTGTACAAATATAGGAGTAGCAACAGGGATGGATCTGGGGGCCATTATTGGCTCCTGCAATTCACAAAACACCAATTAATGACCCTGTCCACACTCATAAATTTGAAATTTTCACGATTAACAAAAATTTATATTTATACGAGTGACAACAATTTTGAGAGTCAAACATGCTTCAGGACCAAATGCAAAGGATCATACGCTCATGTCAGCATCACATTACATAGAATAACAATTTTAGGTACATGATAGTACATGTTGCTTCAATTTAATAAAGTCAAAATACTTCACAGCTTAGGCTTGATAAACCTTTTGCTTCTAGTTTCCTAGCCATACTAAACTACAATGGATGAATTTGCAAAACAAAAAAGGATGTATAAAGTAACAAGCTAGAAAATTATCTTAAGACCTTTGTGTTACTTAATGATAGACCATCATTTTTGCAACTGCTTAATCTGTTTTCACAGAAACATCGGTTTTACATTCATGTTCCCACAATACATTTATTTAATGGGGTCCATTAACAAAATAGCATTGCAAGTTTCGTAAATTCCTAGACAGCAAAAGCATAAATTGTTTTAGAACTGGTATTTTGTTACAACTGAACAATGTAGATCTATTTTCTTGGGGATAATATTCTTTTATGGAAAAGGCTCACTCAACATAGTAGGATGCGATTGGAAGTTGCCCCCAAAATCTACCACACCTTCAGAAACAAGCTCATTTGCTTCAAAGGTTTTCTGGAGAAATGACAAATTTTGCAGTACTTACATCCTGCTGTTCAGCAAGACTAGAAATTGATGGTGATGGAGAACGGGAAGATGCTGGTTTTAGACCCCCGGGATCCGACTCACTAATGGAGCCACTCTAAAGAAAACAGTTTTGAAAATGAATGTTACAGAAATGACCATGCTAAATTAAAGCTATTGTACATTAATATGAAATCAAAACAGTTATTTTTAAAAACAAAATGCTGAACCTCATATCAGTAGTTGGAACAGCACCAAATTTGGAGTTGTGTAATAATCATAATCCTTACATCTGGCACAGGACTTTTCACATTGGGAGCATATCCCAAAGTGCTTCACAGGACAGAATGTAAAGTGCAGTGCTGTATTTTGGGTTGTAGACAATTTGCACATAGCAATATCCCACAAATAGCCTTGAAATGAACGACCAATTTTATTTGGGGGAATGTTGGCCAAGACACCAGGAAAAACTCTTTTCCAATAGCGAAAAGGTTTACCTGAGCAGCCAAATGGGACCTCAGTTTAATGTCTTGTCTGAACGATGGCATCTTCAATAATGTGGTGCTTCCCACAGCACTGTAATAGTGTTATCCTAGACAATGCGAGTTCAAGGTCCCGATGTGGAACCACAACTTATTGAGTCAGAGGTGAAATGCTACCAAGTGACACAGATTGACACCAACATATTGCAGTACAAAATAACAAGTGAAGCAAATGGCACCAAATTTAGCAAATCAAGAAAATATTTAGTAATAATTGTATCATTGGGTACCTTAAATAGAATCCGGTAAGCATAAAATATAAAAAAAGGAAAAATTCAGAAAATACACTTTAGAAATGGTTCAAAAATTGTCTTAAAGCTGCTAATTGTCTAATGAGTTACCTTGTCAGCATTAAGCCATACAGAAAGTTGTAGGTTTCAACAATGCTGCAAGCTTAGTTAGCTAAACATATTACAATTGCCTTCAGCACTTCTGGTTCAAGGAGGAAAAATCTGTTAGGATCCCAGTGCTATTTACCATACAGAGAACCCTGTTGGAAAGGTTATTAAGTATAGCTGTCAGCTAAAAAAATGTATGAGCCAGTGGTAGAAAAGTCTAATGCCTTTGGAAACAACCCGTTGAAAAAAAAATAATCAAAAAGAGGAAAGGAGAAAAAAAAAATCTTGGCAATTATAGTTCTAATAATGTTTCAAAAAGAGCCTTTTTTTCCCTCCCTTTTCACCATGAACTTTCTCCAACCAAATGTGGTGCAGGGGCTTGGTTCCAGCCTCCACCAAAGCTGCCCTGAAAATTACACCATCTGTGTGATGACTTTCTTCCAGTCGAAAATGTCTTGTTCTTGGCTCCTCATCGCCCAAGCCCCGTGCACCATTCGGCAGCAGTAGGTGCTCGTTTGGGCAGGAAAAAAAATCAATCATTTTTGTTCCTGCTGGAGTGTATGTGGTGTGGATGTTGGCTGAGGATAATGCTAAGCCCAACCACAATGGCTCCGTTTGAACAGCCAAAGCTCATACATAAAGAATGAGTACTTCTGGGAGATACCAAAGGATGTCCGTCAACTGTGGAATTGTATTCCAGTACAGGGCAACTCTTTGATAACCTAGTCAACTGGGTCCAATGTTTAAGTGGCCACATTATAAGTGGGATGTGAAAATAAAGACCAGGGTCTCATGCGTAGAGCGCAGTAAGTGACATCAATGGTGACCCGATGATCCCCAGAAGTGTGGGGGTGTTTAACACTGGAAGCCAACTAGTCAGTCAATGCCGGAAACTAGCTTGTCAGTCAGTGCATGGTACTTCTGGTTAGCACAGCTTCACACGACAAATGAGGCCGTGCTACAAGAAGTGGCACTTTAGAAGGAGGAAGGAGGCACGGTGGTAGTCAAAGTGCCTTCAGGAGGGGATTGCAGAAAATGGGCATGAAATCCTACATGTGTGCTAATGCACGAGTTCAACATACAGATTTTAGGTAAAATAACAGGAAAAGCACAGTTCCAAACTTCACGCAGCCAACATACTGACGTGCTAATGCTTAGGTCTGTTTATAATGCAGGTGCACAGAGTACCGTGGGATACAAAAGTGCACAACACACAGCTTCTGCCGCATACGAGCAGCTGCCTGGCCTCCCAGCCAGCATTGCAAATGCTCATAAGAGCTGTTCCTGGTTTCCTGCACTTATACACAGCCTGGTTCAGTGTCATCCACGACGTTATCATCAGCAGTATGCTGACCTGTAGGAACTGACCTACAGAATGACCCACTTTATAGACGCAAAACACTGCTACAACGGAGGACCGACTGTATATGCAAATACTTCCAATATAAGTCAATAGTGTTCCTTCTGTTGTACCAGATGATAGTCTTTTAATTTGTTCAGGTTATATTCAGGTCTTTCTTAATATAGGGCACACTTCATTATTACACATAAAGCTTTTGCCCATCCATCCAAGGATCAAGTTGTATTGAGGTTGAGGGATATTTAACTTGAAATCACCTATCAAATTACAAAGAGTTACCAGTTCATCCCTGCACCTTCATTTACTCACAGCTGACTACAGAAAGGATGCTGTCAGGGATGGTAAAATGTTTTCTTACATGTCTGTTCTTTATAAAGCAGGGCTTGATGGAAGACATCAAGTTGAAAGGGGAAGGTAACAAAACAAGAAGAATCATTAGAACAGTATTTCACAGAGCAAAGGGTGAAGTATATAATCACCAAGCGCCTGGAAATCTCAAGAATGGTTATGCTGTTTGCTCAGGAGTTCAAATAAGTAGTAATAACATCCTCACTAAAACCAGAAGATGAGGACCAAGGGATAACATTGCCCCACATCAGATGCCAAAGCTAGTCAATATCCAACACTTTGTTTGTAATGCATCCACTACAATTCAACAATTTTTACACTTCTCACTCACTACTTCTGTTGTTTATATTAATAAAACTCAAGAACCATTATATAACTAAAGCACTACACAAGTAATAATAATAATCCTTGCATTTGATATAGCGCTTTTCACGTCGGGAGGACGCCCCAAAGCGCTTCACAGAACACACGGTAAAGTGAACTGACTGTATATTTGTGGGCAAACGCGGCAGTCAATTGCGCACAGCAATGTCCCACAAACAGCCGTAGATTGAAAATGACCAATTTATTATTGTTTTTGGTTTCGGAGGGATTATTATTAGGGCTGTGTGTGGAGTAAGGAAACTTGCCCAAGGTTTCGCCCTGTGCCTGGAAATGAACTCAGGTCTCTCGCTCGCAAAGCGAGTGCTCTAACCACTGAGCTACAGGACTCCAAAGTGGCTATATAACAGATGAGGCCTAATTAAAAAGTCAAGTGCTGACAATTTTATTTGAACCCCTGTGGTTAATTTTCTACATCGGTGCTGCTGTTAAACAAAAGCCATTTAAAATGCACGAGTTTAGCTGTTTAGTAGAATGCTGAATTACAAGGAGCTTTTTATAATGGGAATAGAAGATTATTCTGAGTTTCTCCAAATGTTACAACTTGGAAGGTATGGCAAAATATGTTGTTTGTTTAATGGTTAAACACCAATGACTGAATAAGTAAAGGAGATTTCATGTAAAATTATAGCAGAGCTGATGGGCAGGGAATAAAGGAGTTAGTTCTAAGGGTCAGATAATGCAAGTTGGGTTGTAAATTGCTTACAGAAACTTACTTCTTCCCAAAATGCGAGAAGAGATGATGCAGACGAGGTAGAAACAAAGTCCTTTGTGTAACAAATATGAGAAAAATACACTCAGCATGCTCCTTTTTAAGTTCAAAAGCTACTAACCAGGATACTCTCTCAAAGAATCTCTGTGTACAATTAGGGTTTCAGTCGCTTTAAAAATAGTTAACTTGATGGAAGTTTTTGAAAAGTTTATAAATGCAATAGCCAGAATCAAACTATATCTGCTTTACTGAAGAGTGTGTGTGCATTGAGTGTGTACTTCTGCACAGATACGAACAGTTTTTTGTCTCGCACCAAATTAATTTGGGACATTCAATACTTTACAATTATAATTACTACAGGTTGATGCCATTTGGTTTCTATTTTAAAAATTACAGATACTGCTATAAAAATAACACAGGTATGCTCCTTGGGTTGAATTTCCCCACTAACTCCTTAATAAGCACTCACTTTAAATCCCAAATCATGTGGTGTTGGAGAAGTGTTAAAGTAGTCAAATATAGAGTCTTGAAAATCTGGAAGCTTGAGATCTTTTAAAGAAAAAAGAAAAATGAAAAAATAAACACGCTTCTTTTAAAAAAAGTCACACTTATTTAGATAGATGTAAAGCAATCCAGGTCTGGTAAATACAATACCTAGTAATAATATGACATGCTGTATAAATTACTAACCTTGCTCAGTTCTGACTCTGCTTTCTTCCAAGTCTTTCTTTAAAGTTTGTATCTCTTCCACAAATTGTTGATTTCTACCATCTGCGTCCCTCAATTTACTATAAATACATTTTCAATAACATGAATAGAATACAGGACGCATGCGAATTTAACAGTTAAACAATACAGTTTAGATTTTTATTGCGCTTTTCACATCGGGAGGACGTCTCAAAGCACTTGACATTGCTGGGCACCTAAGCAGGAGGTGGAAGCTGAAGAGGCGTGGAGGAGAAAGATGACGGAAAGTGCATTCCAAGAAGTACGTCTTGTTCTAATAAATAGTCACATAAAACCTGTCTGAAACTTTTAACATTCAATATTTTAATAATATTACATTCCTGCCAATATTCTCTGAAATACACTTTTGTCTTGAGCACCCTGATAACCTTTGAGATTTCCTCAGATCCACTGCCATACGTTACATTACTGATGATAGTAAAAAGATATATTATAGATCCAGCATCAGGGAGAGTTGATAATAAAAGAACATACCTCTCCAATGCTATGTTTGTAGCTTTCACTCTAGCCAGTTCTTCCTGAATTAACTGCTTGGCTCGCATTTCTGTTTCAAGAGCTGACTGCAGCTCTAGCCTGGCTGACATATCCAGCTTTGCACTACGTCGCACCTTCCATAGGGGATCCTGGGAATAAAGCAAAAAGAAATGTCAGCAAATAATCATGCAGATATCAAGGAGTGCAAATTTACTACTTAGTTGGAGTCTCACAAACAAAACCTCCCTGATTTCTCAAATAATTACAATGAATCTGAAAATCCTTTATTTTCTTTAATTGACACTTGAAAAATATTTAAACAGTGACCACTGATCGGGAACATTGGGGCAAAATGGCTTGGAAGAGATAGCAACCGTAACAATTTAATCAAGGACAATTTAGATTATTAAATCCCTGAAATACCTTTTGTTAATAATAATCGATTCTGATTTTAATTTTACTCTCATATCTTCAAGAGTTTCTCATCTAAATCCTCTAAAGTCAGTATTCAATGATTAAACAAAGATAAAATATATTTTAAAAAGATTCTAAAAGGAATCTAGAATTAGATATTATCCTGAATCGTTTTTTGTTACTCCATGACCAGCAATGCATAAAACAAAGCAACAATATGATATTCTTCTTAACTCATCAAAAACAATTAGTTTTGTTATGCTTCTCTGCAGAAACACAACCTTTGTATTGCAGGATATACATTAAACAGAAAATATAGAGCCGTGGCTGCATCGATTATACTTCAATGCTGTAGCTGAAAAATTATGTCTTATAGATTTGAAAACTGTCCAAATAGTGAAAACAGACTTTTGCATTAATTACACCATTAGCATTGCATCTGGTTAATGTCATGGGTTGAGGATATCCAGAGGCTTATTCAGGGATACATGTTGTTTTATTACAGAATTAGGAAGATCATTCAGGAAAAAGGTCAAATTAAACTTCAAAAATAAAAATAGGACATGGGGGGGAGGGACAGTTTAAAAAAAATCCACAGGTAAATGATATTAACATTTAATTTGATTTTATAATCTAGATTTTAGCCATTTTGGATTATTAATATAAGTACTCACGATACTCTTATAATGCATTAGCTCTAATATTAGTTTGCAAGTAATCATGCTGAATGAGCCAACAATGGACAGAACTGCTCAATTCAGGTGGGAATGGGAATTTTAGCAACATCTGCAATTCCACCAGCTCCTGCAGATTTTACTTTACACAGCAAACCTTGACGTAGTAATGGATCTCTACATATCCATTTTTTGTTAGTTTTTGTGAATCAGTTAAGATGACTGATTATGATTACTCTTGCCTGGATTCAGTAAAAATTTGTAAACGTCAATTTATCTTTTTTGTAATGTTCCTCTATTCAACATAAATAATATGTATCCATCAAAACTTTTTTTTAAGATGCTGTATGAAGAATTGCAATTTTAAAAAAAAAACTCCACCAACCATTGCCACGATGCATTAAAATGTCTGCTTGAAAGTAACAGGAGTATATTTTATAGTTCAATGTCACCAAATAAAAACATTAACAGTATGTCTTACCAGAGTTCTTGAGCCTAGACTGGAATTTCGCAGAGATTCCAGTTCTTCTGTCATCTTTGATGCCAGAGCCTGCAAATATCCTCTTGCATCCTTCTCATCACTTACCCTAACCGGATAAAGTATTAATTAGCTCTGAAAGTTCCTTAATTATATTATCAACAAATAATTATTAAATTATTACATGCAATATATACCTTCACCTCTTCAGTTTGAACGTTTATACATAAAAGGTTCTGACCCATAAATATCTACTTATTGTTCCAGTATTTCCAGTGTATAACTATTGGTACAAATTGCAAAAGGTGCTTAGTTAATTCCAAAGTGAATCTATGACAATCTTATAGAAAATCACAAAGATGACTGATACATCTACGATTAAGGACAACAAAATTAACAACCTAATAATACTTGCAATTGGCAAAGGGCTGAAAATTCTGAAACACTAAAGCCTTTCTCAGGGAATTCATCAAGTTCAACTTGTGCAAAAATCAGTTACTTAGGAATCAACTGGAATGGTGAACTTTATGGTATCTTACGAATTTTACAGCATCAAGTATTATTCATTATTTCCAGAAGCAGATTTAGATAGTAGACACACCAAAAGTTTTCCTACTTTTAGAATATGATCGATAATTTGAATATCAATGCAATTTATCAACATTACCAGAAATGCTCACAGATATTTAGTATTGGGAGTGAAGAACCTCTATTCTAATAAGCACTAGTACACACCACTGTATGATCTCTGCAATTTGAGCTTCCCAGTGGGCCACTGACTCCTTCCTGGCTGCCAGGTCCTGAAGCTCATCTTCCAGTCGCCTGTTCTGTGTTGTGAGTTTGTCCACAAATGAACACATCTTTAAAAATAACATTGGAATATAAAATGAAGAGTTTAAAAACGTGTACATTGCCTTTTTCAGGACATTTTAAACAGAAATTCACAGTATTTTGTAAAGAGTCCACGGAATATTAAAATCATAACCTATCACGTAAGACGTGTATAAATACATAATGGATTTTCAACTCCATGGTGACCTACACCTCACAACAGGAAACCACTTTGCTGGAAGCAGCTAAAAGGAGCTTTGGTAAGTGATCTCTAAAGAGAAATTGTCCAGCAGTCAAGACCTTTCTGGGTGCAAGAAATCTTAGCTGAGAAGAGTTATTCATTGGTCTGGCATAACTGTTCACAGCACGAGCAATTAGACCACTGATTGAATCAAAAGCCGAACCTACAATCAGATATTCTGTAACGTCAGTAAATTTATCATTCAATACTAAGAGTCCAAACAAGATAAAGCTATTATATATAAAACAAACTAATGTTGTTACTTCTAAATTAAATAATGATCAAATATTATTAAAAATATTTGTAGTTAAATTGAAAGATTAAGGCGACACCATAAAACACAAGACTAATACTTAATTTATGAATGGTACATGAACTGCAAGTAGTTTACATCCTTGAAGTTATTCCAACTCTTGTTTAGATAACTTTATTAAACTCAGTATGTTTTGGACTATGCAAGTCTGGAACTTTAGTACAGGTTTCGGGCTATCATGTTAGGTGTCCACTTATCTGGAAACAGTGATGAAGCAGGGTTTACAGAATCATACTTTTGAAGAACTGTTTTTAACGCTGTAGGAGACACATGAGAGCAGGATGGTAGGAGTTAACAAACAGAATTCAAGACCACATGGGTGAGGTGACAGAGGGAGACAGAATTAAAGTTGAGAATACTGCACTGTGTTCAAAATGTAAATTTATTAGTGCCTTACTCTATCGTTCTCGGCTGAAAACTTCTTGTTATCTTCGATGAGCATGTTTTTCTCACAGTCATACTTCTTTTTCAGCTCGCTCAAAGTTTCCTCCATTTCGTTTTGCCTATACACAAAAAGCTCGACATATTCAAGTTTCTTACCATGCTACATGACGTCAATGGTGCATTTCCATTCCATTACTAGGAGCTTTTCTGTTACATTGAACTGATACTGTGCATTATTTTGTTGAAAATCAATATGTCCTGGGATTCAAACTAAAGATACATCTCATTTAGTCCAAATCCTCCACAAAGGATTAGATGAAGCTACATCAATCCCCTCACTGACCCAGTTTGCTATTTTCAACTTAAATAATGATCAGATCAAAGCATTACAGTTAGAGCGCTTCACAAACATCAACATTATCTAATTGTTTCCCAACAAGTAAATGTACTTTGTAATGCAATTAAAATGCAACTTACTTCATACTTTGTAGCAAATTTAACAAAAACTGACATCAAGAAGTAGTGGAACGGGTCCATTAAACAATTCTTGAATTCTATGTTATAACAGTTCAAAGTATTATGAAAATGTGATTGAATTTTCTTTAGAAATTCCTAGTTTGCTATAGTTTCTTCTCTACACAACTTTAAACAATAATTTTCTCCTTTCCCTCATCTCACTGGAGCATGCAACATGTGATCGAAAAGATGGACAGGCTATACCTTCCAAGGAACATTTCTTATGGTAAGCTTTTATTAACTAAGAAATTAATTTGCAAGACGCAGTGGATATTTACCTATCTCTCTTGGCTTTCTCCAATTTGTCTTTCAGCATCATGACATCTTTCTGCAGAGCTAAGTGTTGGGCATCCGAATCATGCAGCTCCTTCCGAAGGTTCTTAATTTCTGTGCTGTGGGCAGATTCACACCTCACGAGTTCCTCTTCATAGAAAACTATTTTCTTCTCCAGTTCTGATTTTACCTTCGACAGTTCCTGCTGGTGCAGTAAGATAGAGCCACTTGCTCGGCCTCCTTGCTTTAGCTAAAAATATGGGGGGGGGGGGGAAACAAAATAAAATATTAATTGGCAGATATAGGGTCATTAGGGTCACTGCAATTTTTGTTTGCATTTTGTGAATGATTTGAGGTATTAGAGAAAATAGTTGGAAGAAAGACAGGCATTTCCTATTCTAACCTTGAGCCCCTCCACCTCGGTTTCCAGCTGCTTGGAGTAACTCTCACTATGTTCTCGTAGCTTCCGTTCTTTTGATCCTTCAGCAACGGCATCTTCCAACTGAGCTTCCAACTGGAAACAAACATGCGTCACTTAATGAAATCCTTTACATGCACTGTATTATGCACCACTAAATTAATGTGATATTTTGCATACATATGAACCTTGGGAGAACTGCAATCACACGTGTGCATCAAAACCCAAAGAAAAATGGCGGTTTTTGAGTTGAATAAGAATTGAGAATGTGAATGGCACTGTACATCTCTTCAATTCTACTTTGATGTACAGCATTAGAAGTTTGCAAAATCATATGGAGCGATTATAAACATTTACAAATTTTTCTTCCCCAATATTGATTAGCATCCACTTGAATAATGTATTGCCATTTGAGCAAACTTAACAATGAAGCTCTTTGTTGCAGTGTACCCTGTACTTTACTGCATTTATTAAACACAAAGTTGCCCTTGAAGAACTAAACTAATTGTTAAACTAATTACTAAACTAATTCTTATTTTCTGTTTGCAATTATATACCAAATTTGGTTTCAGGAAGGACTATGATGCGGGAAAGATCCTGATCATTTCAATGAAGATTACTTAATAGTTAACATTATGCAATTAAGCTGGAAGTACTATATGGATGGGGAAGGAAAACATTATGTTCAAAAATCTATCCACAATCAATTAAATTTAAATTCTGTGAGGCCCGTCATTCCTTTTTATTCACCGTTCTGTATCAATACAGATTTACCACAGCATTAGTAAGAAACAGTTCAGTCTGAAGAGCAATTGGTGAATAACCATCTTAAAGTCAAAGCTTTGGAAATTTTTAGATAGTTTTTACAAGAACTTAGTTTTGCTCTTTTTTTTTAAAGAAAAACTTGCTTACAATAGTCTTTGAGAGTGACTGCTGGTCTGCCAGGGAACCACTGAAGGGAAGAGTTTAGAAATCTCTTCTGCTGCAGTGCTCTCCATGACCAGGTGCACTGAAACTAAGAGTCAAGAAAAGAGATCTGGGGACAAACCGAGCAACACAGAGATAGTAACAATTAGGAAGAAACAGACTAAAAGGATCAGAAAAAGAAATGGCATAATTCGATAGGAAAGGAAGTGGGAGAGAAATATACTTTGAAAAAGAATTGAGCAAAACAATCAGAGAAATTAAAAGGACAAATAGGACTTCCTGCATTTCAGCCTTTTTCTCTTACTCCATTCATCGCAATATCTTTCAATACACTCACAATATTGTCTTTGCTACGTTCAACACTTCATGTTCTTTTATTTAGCAATAACCCTGACTTAAGATGAATTCAATAAATATAAAGGAAACATATATAAGCTAGAAATTGAAATTGCTAAACATCTTGTGGTAAGCTGATTTTTAAGTTCTGATAAGCAGAAAACCAAAGGAATTCACAATTATGGTTATTTCTTCCGAGTTTCTTGCCGTTAGTGATCCATTTTGGGCTGCTGCAGCCCGTCATTAACCGGCTCATCTGCTCCGATAAATGCTCATTCGCAATTTTTAAAGGATTGATTTCCTCCCGTTCCAGACCAAGAAATCCAGTACCAATACATATCCAAATATCAAATCCGAGGAAAATGTGGTCAACTGTAAGTAAATTGAACACAGTTAAAATTCAATTTGCCGGAAACTACCTCTTTTCTGGCCCGCTCCGCTTTCCGGATTTCCTGACGCATGGAGTCCATCTTCTGCATAATCACTTCCAACTCCTCCTCTTTATCGCGCAGGTGTCGAGAAAATTTCTGTTTCTGCGAACGCATTTCCGCCATCCGTTCATTGAGGTCAGAGAATTCCTGCATGGTTATCTTTCTCTGATGTTGTGCATCCTTCAACTCTTTGGTTTGGGATTTTTGTCTTTCCACGGCTTCAACAAGTTGCTATTGAAATTGCAGAACAGATGTTAAAGTCTCATTAAGATACAGTGCTCAACATGTATCTTATATTAATATACATTACCTTTGGCTTTTGATTATCAAAATATGCCACGCTGACAACCGAAGCAACGACTGAGATTTTACTTTTTATCTGTTTTTGACAATAATCAGGTTATTCTTTAGCCCCAGCTTGCTAAAAGTCAAATTTCCCCAATATTAGAAAATAATTTCACTTAGTTACCTTGTGACTTTCATCCTTTTCTTGTTTAAGTGCTCTGATCTGTCTGTCAAGTGCTTTTACTTTGTTTGCAGATTCCTCAAAATCCTGACGGACAGATACTGCATTTTCAAGTTGCTGTTCTAACCGATCAGATTCTGTTAAAATAAATCATCAAAAACTAAGATATTTGCCTTCAAGATAACAGCTTAAAAAGTTCTCCAAGTAGTTCAGTTAGTAAAGTCACTAGCTGGAATAAATTGGCATATAAATCCACGAAGACCCTGGGTTTGTTCTCTTGCTCGCATTGAGTTCGGTCATCTTGACCAGGGCAACAGTTGGGGTGCATGTATTGACATCAGCACTCCTAAACTTGGAAGAGAAAGTAAAATCTACCAAGGTTTCCATTATTGATTGCTAATCAAGTGACTTTTGCTGTTAAAGTGTACATGTGCGGACTCTTCTTATACATAAGCAGATTATGATTTTTCTGGGACAAAAAATTCTGTAAAATGTTTCCAACTGAATTGCAGCAGAGAAGCGGGCTGGGCTATGTGAGCAGGTAAGGATTTTTTTTATTTTTNAAAAAACTGGCCCTCCCCAGGGAAGTGAATCCCATACTTTGAGAACCTCTGGTTTAGCACATTCAGTGAATAGAAAAATAATTACCCTTACAATACCTGCTATTTTCTTCCGTAATTTTTCAATCTCCTCATTTAACTTCTTGATTTCCTTATCTCTGTTACTAGTTCCCATTCCACGTCCGGTCGATGTAGATTCTGAGGACATTGTTTTTTTAAAAATAAAATAAAAGTTCAACCTGATAAAAACAAGATAATCACAAGTCAACTGCACTCCAGCAGCAATTAGGAAAATGTTACACACACCTTGCAGCTTCCTAGTTAGTTCCAGTTTTTCTTGTTCAAGTCTTCGTATTCTCCGCTCATAAGCCTCCACTTGCAAACTGTTTTCCAAGTCTATTCGGACATCTGCATCCTTGCCAGTTGAATCCAATTGCTTGACATTCTTCAGAGAACTTCGGTCTGAAAATGGACTAAAACAAGCAAATCAAATTATCAAATCAAATCTGCAATCAGAATATCAGACAACTAAATAAGCCACACATTACCTGACTTCACGTGATGAAAGCAGCTATGCAAATTTTTCATAAACCACTTGAAAATTAGCAACTGTGTACTTCTCAACCCATCATTATAACTCCATCAACCTCAGGATCTGAATTTAAATCAAGTCACTTGATCAATTTTTGGGATTGAGAAATTAACAAAAGTGGTTCTGCCAAAGGGTCATACACAGCTTTCTCTTTCAGATGCCAAATGCCAGTATATTTCACTTACAATAAAATAGTAATTAAAGTTTGTACCATTTAATGCTGTTTCATACCACCCTTAGAGTGAAATTTTATATTGAAGGTGTGACTTTACTGAAAAAGGATGTACATAGAGATATGTTGACTTATTGCTTTAATCAAGCACAGTATATTGATATTTATTTATGTCATTTACTTGCAATAGTAGGAAATTAAACAAACTGCATGTTAGAACACTGAATTGTATCCTTTGACTACTTAGGGGATAAAGGACTTGAATTGTCTCACCTGCTCGTGGTAAACGTAAAGCCTACAAATGGTAAATGAAGTCCAGAGAAAGCAGTGTGAGTAGCTGGAGGTACCAATTCCTAGGGTCAATGGAAAGCTCATATTAATATAAAATAGCAATCTAATAATTTTTAAATACAACACAGGTCAATCTGAACCTATTAACAGCTGAGAAAAATGTAGAAGTTGCATAACAATTTAGTTAAACAAGCTGGTTATCACAATTAAATGTTGTTGTATCCGGAGTATTTAAGTAATGGCAAATCCATTATGTAATGTAACTATTGATGTTTGCGAGAAGTCAATAAAGCAGCCTGGTGCTGTAAAAAGCACTGCCTCAAACACCAGATGGTCACAGGTTTGAATCCCAAGGCTGCTTGATAAGCAAATTAGTCTGCTGTGCTGTATTTATGAGTTTAGACAGGTTTCATCCTGGCTGCTGGCTGAAGCATCCAGTTATAGCACTGTTACACCGGAGAGAAAACTGACAAAAGCTATTTAATCAATGAGTAGTTGAATCAGCTTGCCAGAGCTTAACAAACATTGGACGAAAAATATAAATAGGTAAGGATAAAAAGTAGAGAATAGCAATTAGAGAAACTCGCTCATCTAATGGATGACCTTAGATTTGATGGTTCAAGTAGCTTTCTCATAATGCTGTAATTTCTATGAATTTGTGACTCCTACAGACTGAAATACTATCATGGGATAAGGGGTAAATTGGAAAATGATAAATTAAAATAATCTAGGGATTAAATCTTAAAATAATCAAAGAAGCCCCTTTGGTTATATAATGTCATACAACCTAAAACAAAATAAATAATTTTATGCCATTTGTATTTGAAAGACAGTAGAATACTAAATTACTAACTGGATTTTTGAGAACATCGTCATCTACATCAAAGTTTGAGGTGTCGGTCGGACTGCTAACATCAGGAATATAAGGTGCTTCAGTGTTTCGAATATTGTCCCAATCTATCCCCTTGAAAAAAGTATGTTTTTTGAAATCTTCCATTCCATTCTTGCCAATCCGTTGCTCTCTACTGCAAATAAGGCGCTGTATCAAATCCTTAGCTTCGTCAGACACATCTGAGAGATGAGATGGAAATTGGAACCGTTCCTATCAAAGATTGACAAAGCATTACTGAAAGTATTATACAAGCAGAGAATGCACATTAATATTATTTCATTTCTAGATTAAGAAGTCAGCTGTTGTTCAGAGAAGACAGCCTGTACGTGCACTTAATATGGAAGCTTTTACTCAGTACCCAGAGAATGATGAAAAACGACATATAATAATTCAAATAACATGCATATCTACACTACCCTAAAGAAAACAATAGCTTGTAATTTAGCTATGCCAGAATTCCAGTAAAAATGTTGTAACATTTGATCATTTACCATACTATTTAGAGGTGGAAATTAACATTACTTCCAAAATGCGAATTGTTGCATTAGCTTTAGTCAATCATCAAGTCATTTAAAATGCTGGCCTGGAAAGAAATAGACCTTACTTGGTGATTCATAATTTTCCCATAGGTTTCCACTAATGACTCTGCGTAAAATGGTGTCTCTCCAACAAGCATTTCATACATGCACACACCAAGAGACCACCAATCACATTCTGGTCCATACTTCCCCATTCCATCCTCCATTGCTTGTAAAATCTCTGGGGAGATGTAATCAGGTGTACCAACTGCCACAGAGGATTGTACCTAAGGACGAAGATAAATTGTGAGGCACACACATATATTTTTAAATGTGATTAATAAGATATAAGCAACAGCTTTCATAATGGTATATTTCAGCAGCAGACATAATAATCTTTGCCAGTTTTTGTGTTTTCTATTTTTTTAAAAAATTCAACCTAAAACGTTGGGATATCTTATTTCTTCCCAAAGCTGCTGTTTGGCAGGCATCAACAGTAGGAAGTCGTGTTTATAACCAGACCGAACAAATTGTTACACTTTAAGCTCCAAGTTGACTGCGACCGGACACTGAAATAAACATCCAAGCAAAGTTTGTCGATAACAAGAGATTTCAAAAATGTGGAAAGGAAAATTGCCCCAAAGATGTAGTCAATCAAACTGAGAAATGCAATTTATAGTCCCAAAATGCCAAGCTTTAAAATGTAATGCATGTGATATTCTTTAAAGTTTAACCATTTCTAGACGAATGCCAACATCCATAACATTGTGCCAACGTTAATCGTTACTAAAAATGCCCGAGCTTTAATGTAAACCTTACTCAGAAAAGCAATCCATTTTGCAGAAGTGGTACTCACAGTGCCATCATTCATCAACTTCAAGCATGAACCAAAGTCAGCAAGGCGTATATGCCCATTCATGTCCAGCAAAACATTATCGGGTTTTATATCCCTGCACAAAAAAAGTACACCACCAAAAAACGTCTTTTTTTTAAAAAAAAGATAAGTCACAAATGTTTCACTTCAAAACACTTAAAATGCCATGTTGCAGCTTATTATCTTAGTGATTGTGAGAATAGTGAGAAATATTAAGATAGTGAGAAATGAGCAGACCAACAATTAGTTTTTTCTCAAGGTCACTGGTGAAGTGTGAGACTGCTAAACATATTGTGAATCTAAGGAAATCCATTCTAGTGACTTATGTAATGTCATATGATAGCAGCAATTTAAACAGGCAAAATAACCCAGGATCACCATCCATTCACCCAGTGACAATGCCAGTTGAAAGGTTCACACCAAAATGAATATTTCAGCAAGCCTTACAGCAAAAATGTGGAATCAATCATAGACAGTTAAAACATTTTTTTTATTGCAGAATTATCATGGCATTAATCTGGGAGTTCTAAATCAAAAACAGCCATGTTTGTTTCTTCAAGGAATTCAATGTATTAGCCTCTACCACTTTTCCTAGTAATCTGTTCAAGCAGTTAATAACTATTGACATAGTCTGAAGAGTCACTGGGTCTCACTTGATAAGGTGCTTGACAAGGAAAGACAGAAGCCAACATGGGTTCGAACTACTATTCTGTACCTCACGATAAATACAATTTCATTTTATAGAGTTATACTGCAACAATTAAATTGTAATTACAACAATTAAATTGCAACAATTAAATTGCAAAGGAGCAATGGAGAGTTACAGTTCTATAAAAGCCCAATGAAAGTCATAATGGAAGTTGGCTATTGTTCACATTTGCAGCCTGGTGTGGAGTTTCGGGTTTAAAAAAAGGGCCAAATCTTGCTGACAAAAATCCCTTTGTTCAAGATTACGTTTGAACGAAAAATTGAAACTTTAATTAGTACAAAGATAGAATTCAGATTTGTAAAAACAAAGGTTATTTTTCTAGGCCAATCTCAACAGAACAAGCTTAAAAACGTTCTTTTTTAATTAAGATTTTTTTATTGGGATATCTGAAGCATACTATATTCCAACTTATGAACTCTCGTTTCTGCAGACTTCCATGAAATGTTTGTTTATAAAAGTCATTCTTTGCGTTCTGGCTTCTATTCTGTAACCCAGGCCACACATTCCATCACCGTATTCTGTACATCTGTTCATTTCCAAACTTACATCTGCACAGCACAGCAGTTACACAGGATCTTATTGTTGGTTTTCTGTCATAAACTAGATATTTCCAAAAAATGGCATGTAACAGCTTCTCAATTCTTAATTTCTTCCTCATTCCTCATTGTGACTAACTGGCATATAGAACTTGTTTAATTCCTGTTTTACTACACAAATGAAATGTTATTTTTGTTGGGGGGGTGGGGGAGTGGAATTCTAGTCTTAAATTCTGCAAGACTCAAAAGATAACTCGATGTGTACATTCCCCAACTTTAGAGTACTGATATTTACAGTACTAAAGAACAGATTAAGCTCTACATAACCAAGTATACACCATAACCTGCAAGTAGTCACAGTACTAAATGAGCAATACTTTCATAAAATAAAATGTACCTGTGTACATAATGCAACTGATGAATGGAGTCGATAGCGAGCACCATTTCTGCCAGGTAAAACTTGGACATTTCTTCTGGAAGCCGGTCTTCAAACTTGCTGAGTAATGTCAGTAGATCCCCACCCACATAGTAGTCCATAACCAAGTACTGAAAATAAACATTAATCTTAATAAATACGGATTTGAAGCACAATTTTTGCTAAAGAAATATACAAACACAGACTATTCAAATTTTAACCAATAATTAATTCATCTGAAGAATTGTGTTGGTTTGATTACTATTACGTAACTTCAGTGAAATGAAACTTACCAAGTAGTTTTCATCTTGAAAGGCGTAGTGTAATGTAGTGATCCACTGATAATCACCGTTCACCAGAACATCCCTTTCTTCTCGAAAACAGGCAGTCTGCAAATAAATTTTAAAAAAGTTTAATCTTTTTTCCAAGCTCCCTCAAATCAAAAAGGTAATTGAGGGATTCAGGTTTCGAACCTTCCGAGGGAAGATGTTACTTTCAACCCAAACCGAATACCCTAGCTTCCTTAATTCTACACACTTTGAAACTAAAATGAAAGAAAACAATTTTGTCACCAGTATAAAGTCGTTCAAAACAATGTTTCTTGGTCAGCTATTAAAGTATCCATCGTTTATATGTTTTTAAAACAAAGATTTAAAAGTAGCATTAATATTTTAAACTTAAAACATTTCTAAAGTTGATTGAGACCGACTCCAGCTCACTGGTTGTCTAAACCATTGGATTGCAGTGGTGGAAATTTCTGATGTTAAATTTATGTTACTATGCCAACTTTTCTCTACAGCGTGTTTTACAAGAGTCCATTCTTCTTTCGCCCATACAAATTATTTTAAAAATGGTTCTAAATGTTTATGTTTCATTAAACATGATCAAATATTTTTGCATGTGAATTTATCGAAGGGGAAAAAAAACACTTCCCATCTACAAAGTACAACTCGCCTGATCACTAGCTGCTGTCCTTTCCTTAGGAGACTATGATCCTAGTCCAAACATACTAATTTTAGAGGATAAATTTCACTATACTGGTCTGTAACTTGAGCAGGCGTATACACAAAGAACTGACAGCTGGCAACTGGCTTTAAGAGACCAAACTAAGAATGTTCTTGCACAATTTCTTCCTTTCAGAAACACTGCATGTACAAATCAACTTCATAACAAGAGGATATATGAATGTACATTATATGTCCTCTTGTTTGAATGTGGCATAATTATTATTTAGAATCTAGTAAGTCAGGTTAGCAGTAGATAGCTGCTGAAAAAACATTTCTGAATAGCAGATGCCTTGAAGGAACTGTCAGGTTTTATTGCGAAAAAGTAGGTCAACCCCATTTTCAAGAACATCAGTTGATAATTCTTTTTAAATATCATCTTCCACAGTATCTGTAACAGTCCTGTCTGCATGACAAATCACATTCAGTACATCACTGAATGTGAGGAAATATCAATGCATTTCTTTTTGACACATGACCAACACAACAGCCAGATAAAAAAAAATACTGTAGCAATTTCACATCAACTGGTACTAGTTTATTGGAACATTAAATTCAACACCATTCCAGTCTTCAATGGGAAATGTGCACAGCAAATATCAGAATGGGCTGCAATGACTCATTTGTGTGCGTCAGGCCTCTTGATTTAATCAAGCTCTTGTCCGCTTTACCACCACAACTATGCTGGAATGTCTATTAAAAATGTCTGAAAGGCTACAGAAATGTTCAATGTTGCAGATTTATCCATTTTCAAGTTCTGATACAAATATTGAGAATTGCAACATGAAGTCCATACAATCAAAACATATCTAAAAACAAACTTAAAGAATAGTACAATAATATAGAGTTGGTGCATGTTTGTGGTGCACTTGTATTATTCAACTTCAACTGGACTGACACACGTTTACAATAGAAAGGTAAAGTATGATTTGCTGAAACATTATATCTGATTACGAGAATAAAGTAAAACCTATCAAATCCATTCTTACCTCAGCCCGTTTTAGCATCTCCCATTTGTTGAGAATTTTCATAGCATAAACACGTTCAGTGTTCTTCATTTTCACTACTGCAACCTACAACAAATAAAACTTGATCAATTTCAAACATTTTTCAAAAAATAGACCCGATACGAAACTGTGTCTAGACAGACGTTCAATCTCTGTAAATCTGCATGTTCTGCAACACAAAATTATATACTTCACCTACCCGCAAATATTAAACAATTTCTAATTATTTTGCATAGTATTCATGCAAGTTTTAAGATGTCTACTTTTTCTTTCAGACAACTTGTTTTGCACAGTTTGCATTTTTATATTCAGTTGACATTTCTATTCATCATATGAGAGATACCAGTGCTAAGGAATGGCACATTTCTTAAATTAAATTGCCGTTGAATTGATCGCTCCACTGCTTGAAGTAATGTTCGTGTTCCCATAGGTTAAAAATTAATTATTAAACTGGGCACTGCTAAAAGACAGTCAATTGCAAAATTGTACACAAATAGCTATTCTACCATTGTGCAAAACAGTCCAGGACACAGAAAGGACCTTAAGGGCAAACTCTGCTGGGCAATTTCCGCTAAGGAAGCACATGGATCTTAAAACCATTTAATGAATCAGTGATTCAATCAGCAGTCATCCTGGGCAATCTAGCCACATATTCACTTGGTGGGCAGTGCAGGAAGGAACATCCGACCAAGTACTTTGAACCATTAAACTCCCTCTTCAGCTGGCAGCAGGTGGCCACATTAAGGAAGCTAATCTGATGATGCAGCAGTTAAGAACGCTATGTCCAGAGGAAATGTACATCCAGAGTTGCTAGTGTCATGGAAAGAAATCTTCTTCTGATGACTCCCTTAACTTTTATGAGAAGTGAACTTCATCATACTACAAAACAAAAACAAAAGTCGCTGAGAACACTCAGCAGGTCAGGCAGCTTCTATGGAGAAAGGAAAGTGAGTCAACGTTTCGGATCCACGACCATTTGTCAGAACTTGTTCTGATGAAGGGTCATGGACCCAAAACGTTGACTCACTTTCCTTTCTCCATAGATGCTGCCTGACCTCCTGAGTGTTCCCAGCGACTTCTGTTTTAAGTTTTCCAGTCTCTGCAGTATTTTGCTTTTTTTCAATCATATTACATATTGGTGCAAGTTTTTTCCTCTGACAGAACTTAGTATAAAAAAGTCAATTCAACAATCCCAGCGACCTAGTCAAGAAGTGCAGTTAAAAATTGAGATATCACAACAACAACTTGCATATAACGCCCTTCATGCAGGCCAGCATTTTGGAACACTTAGATTAATAGTGATTTACCAAATTGCAAAATAGCAAAGTTGCCATGCAGCAACAACAACAAATTACATTTGTATTGCACCTTTCACATCAGGAGGATGCAACAACAACAACAACAACAAGATTCCATTTATAGAGCGCCTTTCACGTCAGGAGGACGTCCCAAGGCGCTGTACAGTTGGGTCATGACCCGAGCAGGGGGGAAATGGTCAGGGTGAGGGGAGGGAAGGGAGGGAGCGAGGAGGGAGGAAATGGTCAGGGTGAGGGGAGGGAAGGGAGGGAGCAAGGAGGGGGAAGAGAGTCGAGATGGGAGCTGAAGGCACGGTCAAAGAGAAAGGTTTTGAGACCGGCCTTGAAGGAGGAAAAGGAGGAGGCGGCGAAGGCACTGGGGGATGGAGTTCCAGAGCCTCGGGGCTGAGAGGCTGAAGGCCCGACCACCGATGGTAGGGCGGTTGGGGCGGGGGATGTGGAGCAGACCGGAGCCAGAGGAACGGAGGGTACGGGCAGGTAGGTAGGGGGATAGTAGGTTGGAGAGGTAGGAGGGAGCAAGGCCGTGATGCAGCCAACAGTATTGAGGTCATGGACACTAATCACAGAACTGTCATGTAGATGGTCTGTTAACAGTGATAAACAACAGTAAATGCACTGTCTTTGCCAAACTGAAGATAATCTTGGCAATTTATCACAACAGGATTCAAATGAAATAATAATAATAATAATCCTTGCATTTGATATAGCGCTTTTTACGTCTTCTAGAAGTCCCAAAGCGCTTCACAGAATATACTGTAAAGTGAATTGACTGTATATTTGTGGGCGAACGCACAGCAATGTCCCACAAATAGTTGTAGATTGAAAATGACCAATTTATTATTGTTTTGTTTTGGAGGGATTATTATTAGGCTCTGTGTGGAGTAAGGAAACTTGCCCAAGGTTTCGCCCTCTGCCTGGAATTGAACTCAGGTCTCTCACTTGCAAAGCGAGCGCTCTAACCACTGAGCTACAGGACTCCACATAGGAGCTCGTGGGTAGAAGTAAGAAGAGTCTATGGATGAATTTCTTGATGATTTAAAATCTTAAAAATTAGACTCATCGCAAGGGAAGTTTGGATGAAGAAGGCCCTTCAGCCCATTTCATTGTTCCATCACTGTACGGTCCTCTTTTTTAAAAAATTCTCAACACTGTTTTTGTAGAATATTGATGAAGTTAGTACACACAGATATTTCCCCAGGATTATATCAATGTAAGATTTCATAAATGGCCAGCATTAAATAATATGATGCCAATTAGCCTCTCTTTAATGCAGGAGGCTTGGAATTTAAGGAAGAATCCCATAAATTTCCTGTGCGCTGATGATGGTTGCTTCAAAACATTGATGCTTTTAGGTCACCAACTCAACAGCATTTAAGTGGTGCTAATTCCCAAAGCTCTGATCACACTTCCGACAGTTAAAAACATAGAGACAGTTGCAAACAGAACTGTAGGATATAATGTATCCAAAGCTCAAACCCTGCACTTCAGAATAAATACTATTACAATGAAAGAAAAATTCTAAGATCATTTCATGTGTTACATAAAATTTAATATCCTCGCAAAACAGGTAATTTTTAAAATCTTGGGGGAGAAAAAAAGTACAGATTGTGCTTTCCGAAAGATTAGATATGCAAACTGAGCTGGGAAGGCAAGTTTCGAAAAACAGGAATTGTGAGATCAATCTTTTCTAAAGAAATTAACATTTATCAAAGCCAATTAAGCCACCTGACTATGTTTTTCCATGTGATTAAAATGCAGTCACAAGAAAATGAAACAGCAAAAGATAACTGTCTATCATGAATTTTATTCAATTATCTCTAGTTTCCAAACAAATAATTCTATGCTAGAAAACAATATACATTAATGGATGTTTTCAACTTGTTACAAATAGGAATGTTTGGCAATGGCTACCATAACCATCATGCGTCAGGAAAACTGGCCTTAGTGCTCCTGGGTTAAGGAATGAAAAAAGAACCCCTGTTGGAAAACAGACGTGTAGACTGGAGTAGATTAGCCCAATGAACAAAACGTCTGCTGGCTCTTTCTGCACAAGCTCAAATGAAATATGGCTTAATGGTTGACATACTGAAGGGTAGCCGGCACTTGCGATTTGGGCAAAACAAAGGTCCGCAAGATACTGTGTTGAGATACAAATTCTCTGGATACCACTGGAGAATTCAGATCGTTCCTCTCACGCCACCTGCACTTCATCTCCTCAAACAGCTTCTCCTCTAGCCCCCGGACTGTCTCATGCGGCATTCCTCAGGGCTCCGTCCTTGGTCCCCTCCTCTTCAATATCTATATGCTCCCTCTTGGTGACATCATCCGCAGACATGGGGGTCAACTTCCAAATGTGTGCGGATGACACCCAACTCTACCTCTCTGCTTCGACCCTTCACTCTAGGACCACTGCTGTGCTGACAGATTGCCTGTCAGACAACAAGTCCTGGATGAGACTGAACGGCAAAAAAACCGAGGCTCTCCTGATTGGCTCCCATCAGCACCTCCTCACCTCAGGCGCCGACAGCATCACTATCCATGGTGGCCCACTCCACCTTGCTAAGTCAGTCCGCAACATTGGGGTCTTGTTTGACCCTCAACTATCCTTTCTACCCCACATCGCGCCATGACCCGCTCTGCCTTCCCCCACCTCCGCAATGTCATCTGGCTCCGACACTGTCTCACACCGCAGGCCACCGAAACCCACAAACCACGCTTTCATTACATTGAGGCTCGACTAAGCAAACTCATTGCTTATCGGCCTCCCCAACTCCTCACTCCACAGGCTGCAGATTATCCAGAATTCTGCAGCCCTTGTCCTCTCCCGCACTAGGCTCCGCGACCCTATCACCCCCATCCTTGCCCAACTCCACTGGCTTCCCATCACAAAGAGGATACAGTTCAAGATCCTGGTTGTCACCTTCAAAGCCCTCTACGGTCTTGCTTCCTCCTACCTCTCCGACCTAACCCCCTACCATCCTGTTCACTCCCTTCGCTCAGAGGGCTTCGGCATGCTTCATGTCCCCCACCTTGCTCGCCCTACTATTGGCGGACGGGCCTTCCGCCATTCTGCCCCCACCCGCTGGAACTCCATCCTGCAGTCCCTCCGTTTCACCCCCTCCCTTGCCACCTTCACGACCCACCTCAAGACCCTCCTCTTTGACCGTGCTTTCGATCTTCTTGCTTCCCCCCACCTGCCCTCCACCCTCCCCCACCCCGACCCCCAGCTGGGGTCCATAACTCTATCTGTCCAGCACCTTGGGACATCCTCCCAACGTGAAAAGCTCTCAACAAATGTAACTTGTTTCGTTGTTGAAGAATCATTTTACCATTATTGACTTCACTCTTTATTCATTTGCACACCACAGCATGAGTCAGTACCTTCAGGAATGAAGGGAAAAAAATGGAGATCAACAATTTTGAGAAAGAACTGCACCCGTTAGAATACTATCCCAGATTTTGTTGAGCAAAGAAAGGTACTAACTAGGCTTGGCATTTTCAAATAGCACCAGCTCTTAATATGCAGCTCCCTCATCTCAAGGAGAATAAATATGTATCAGCTATGAAGCATAAGTAACTGCTGTGACTCAATAGCTAATATAACAAACAGTGAGCTGTTGTGTTATTGACATCACAATTGCTTTACTACAATGGCAGGATCCTGATACAGGAATCTTCCTTTGAATTTGTATAAGCTATTGTACACAGATGACATTTCTCATTGTATTGATTTCAATGTGCAAAGGCAGA